TACTTTCAGCTTCCTCGTGACATCATGTCTGGAATCCAAGGGTGAGATTTCCAAGAGGGAGGAAGAGAGAGCCAAGCAGAAGCCATAGCCTTTTGTGACCTAACCTCAAAAGTTGTAGTTACATATGATGCATTTTGTTATATTAGTTAGGGCAATCATAAATTCTGGTTCAGGTTCAAAGAGACTGAAAATAGATGGTCTTTTATGGGGTTTGGAGGAGGTTGCAAGATTCTATAAATGCATAGATTGGAAATATTGCCGTGGCCATTTTTGGAAACTATAATTAGCAAAAGGTAAAGATAATGATAAAATTTAGTCTGGCTTAATCTGAATGTGCAAACTGTAATACAGGATAATCAAAAGACAAAAGCCACTGAACTAGAAAAGAGAAAAAAAGTGTGTATAGCTTTGGCAAAGAGAAACCATATCATGTATATTAAGAAAGAGTTTAACATAAAAAATTTGTTAAACAGGTTTTGGGAGAATTGAAAACATCAGCAAGGGACACAGCTATTAAAGGGAAGAGGGTAACATTATTAGAACCTGGAAGCCTAGAAGAGATACCCCACAGAGTACCAGAGAAAAGCTAGAGGCTAAGAACCAACCAGAGGCTACTGGAAGAAAAGCCACTGTTGAGGTGATGCTGACAATGTCGTAAAGCAAATAGCAAGGGTAAAAGTCTCTTTTTCCTTTCTCCGGTATTCCAGTCCTCTTCCTAGTGCCACCTATCTATGGAACCTAAAGGAAGCCAAATGACAAAAGAGAAATGCAGTTTGCAAAGTTCCAGAATACAAAAGGGTGTCTAGAGTTGAGTAGAGATATTAGTAAGTGGCATATATGGAATTAAAAAAATCACACACAAAAAAATTTAAAAGGCAAGAAAATAGAGACAAGGAATCATAGAACTGGCTAGACAAAAACAAACACAAACAAAACAAAAAACAATAAAACAAGAAAATCAAACCAAACCAAACCCCATTAAATAATATGTCAGAACTAAACCTAAATATATCAGCAATTACATTAAGTGTACATGGCCTAAGTGTTTCAGTTAAAAGGCAGAGATTATCAAATTGTGTTAAAAAGAATCCCTAAAATCCAAACTCTATGTTTAGAAATGAAGAAACACTGAAAAAAACACCTAAAAAACCTGAGTTGCAAAGGAACTCTTAATGGAAAGAGAATATTTTAACTATTAACCATATTAAGTATCAGGGCGCCTGGGTGGCTCAGTTCATTAAGCGTCTGCCTTCGGCTCAGGTCATGATCCCAGGGTCCTGGGATGGAGCCCCACATTGGGCTCCCTGCTTGGCGGGAAGCCTGCTTCTCCCTCTCCCACTCCCCCTGCTTGTGTTCCCTCTCTCGCTGTCTCTCTCTCTGTCAAATAAATAAATAAAATATTTTTAAAAAACCCCATATTATGTGTCAAAACTTGTGGAATATGGCTACAACAGTAATTAGAATATCATATGATTATATTACAGTAATATGGATATTTATAATTTTATAATACAGAGATATTTACAATTATAATATAATATGGAGATATTTATAATTTTTAATTTTATATGCATATGTTGAAAGGCTGAAAATCAATGAGGTAATTATCCAGCTCAAGAAGTTAGAAACAGCACTAGCAAAAAAGAAAAAAGAAAATAGGAAACACAAAGAAAATAGGAAAAATATTAATAAGAGCAGAAAGTAATGGGATAGAAAGCAAACACACAAGAGAGAGGATTAACAAAAATAAAATGTTGGCTCTTAGAAAAGACTAAACTGTCCTTATTTGAAGATTATACAGAATATCCAAATTAATTTGCAAATAATTTATAAGAATCATTAGAATTTAGTATGTTTCCAGATACAGAAGCAATATAAAAAATTTTATTTAACACATAATAAAGAGGATAAAAAGTGGGCTACATAATTTGAATTAACATTCTTACTTGAGAATATCTAGAAAAGGTGGGCAAAATGTATTTAAAAAATGTTGGATGGCATTGGAGAGCTATATTAGTGAATGGTGAGACTAACATCTGGAAGAAAGTAGAAATTCATAAAAGTGAACCATTCATTTGGGATCACTTGGGCCCTGGGAGCTTTTGCAGATTTGTAAGAGTCCACTGAGAAGCTGAGGAGTTAAGGGACTAGGGATTGAAAGGTAGAGTCCAGTGCCAGCCAAGAGATGGGGGCCCTGGCAACCCTAATCTACACTATGAACCCAACTCTGGAGGGTTGTAGGAGTAAGGGTAAACAGGAAGTAAGAGCAGTAGTAGTCTATAGCTCAACTCTGAGTCACATGGATAACTCATAAAATCTTGACTCTGGAACTGGTCTTGAGTTACTAGTGGCCAAGTGCCTCTCTGGAGGATGAAAATACTATGCAGGACATCAAGTTATTTTTAAAGGCAACTTTTCACATATAATATTGGCATACAATTAAAGATAACCATACACACAAGGATGTAAGATAATGATTATCAGCTGAAACAAAACAAAACAAAAAACAGACCCACAGGACAGTTCCAGATTTGGGATTAAACACACACTATAAAATAATAATGTTTTCCATGTTCAGGTAGATAAAAGATTGAAAATTTCAGCAAGACAACTGGAAACTGCAAGAGTGACAGAATTTGCATATTTGTAATTAGAAATTTGAGAACTGAAAATACAATGTGCTAAGAATAACCAAGATACTCTTACAGAACAATAAATTGGGAGGACTTGTTCTGCCAAATATAAAAAACAATACATCAGCTACAGTGATGAAAATACCATATTAGCACAGGGATAGAAAAGAAGAAACAAAAAATTCAGAGATATACACATAAATGGATGTATGACTTGGGTGGTAATGCAGAAGAGTGGCACTGCAAAAAAGAACATACTTATTAATTCAATAAATGGTGGTGAGGAACTTCTCAGCATACACAAAATTAATTCCTCATGAATTGAAAACTGAAAATGTGAAAGGCAAAGCTAAGGCCTTTAGAAGACAATATACAGAGGAGTACCTTCATGACCTTGGATAGAGAACGATGTCTTAAGCAACTCACAAAATACACTAACCTTAAAACAAAAGACTGATACTTCTTAGTACCACTGAGAAACTCTTTTCAGCAAAGAACATCATAAAGAGAGGGAAAGGCAAGCCAGAGTGGGAGAAGATAGCTAACTAAAAACAGGATTTATAAAGATCTTCTATAAATCCATGAGGAAAAAGACTAACACAACAGAAAAATGGGCAAAAGAACTGAAAAAACACTTTGCAAAAAAGAAAGTCAAAGTAGCCAACAAATGCAGAAAAAGGTGTTCAATTTCACTGGTAGCTAGGGAAATACAGAGTAAAACTTCAATAACATACAACTGCACATCCACCAGATTGGCAAAATTTAAAAAAATCTGTTAATACCAGTGTCGAGCAAGGTGTGGAAATACAGGATATCTCTATTGCTAAGGCAATACTCTGTTACTGTCTAATAAAATTTAAGATGTGAATATCTATGACCAAGTAATTCCATTCCTAGGTATATACCTTGGTGGCAGTAGGAAATAAATACAGTATATTCACTGAGGAACTGTGATTGCCCCAAACTAAAAACATCAATAAAATGAATAAATAAGTTGTGGTATATTAATGCAAAGGTAAACTACACAACAATGATGACTGAAGTGTGACTATAAGCAGTAACATGGATGATTCTCATGTTGAAGGAAAGCAGCAGCCACAAAAAAAAATAGTTTGATTCCATTTGCATCAAGTTCAGAAACCATCAGAAAGTAAACTATATTATTTAAGTACATAATAGGTGGTTAACACTATAAATAAAAATGAAGAATTATCACAAAAGATAGGATAGTGGTATTGCCAGAGAATATGTGTAGGGAAGCTGGTTGTGATTGAGAAGGGACTACAAGGGACATTTCTGGGCTGCTGTCAATGTTCTATTGATTTGATAGCTGGTTATACAAGCCCTTACTTTAAAATTAATCCTTAAACTGTGTATTTATATTCCATATATTCTTTTGTGTGTATATATATATGGTGTATAATGCAGAATAAAACATTATGTTTCCCTTTAAAATAAAATATTTTGAATATCTGAATATATATTTCTCAACAAAGCTAAGAAATGGCAAGAGAAAAATGAACACTGAAAATTACCTATTAATTACTTACTCTAATCCCCATGATTTCAACTCCCTGATTTTGGTTTGGATTTGTTGAAAATAAAATAGTTAAATCCATACCTACTGACTGTATACAAAATGATTATTTACTTATAATCACAATGAATTTTTGTAATTTTAATTTTTGTTCATTATAATTTAATTATTAGGTCAACAGATTTTTCCTTCAGATCTGAGAAGAACAGTTTTCTGTCTTCATTTTACTAATTATACAATAGTGGACTCTATACATTGCTGACTTTTTTATGCCTTGTCATTGGCATCACCAGGGAGTGTTATAATAGACAAAAAATAAAAACAAAGATATACATCTATTTCTAAGTTCTAGCTTTGGGACAATCTAGAGGAAGGAAATTACTGATGAGTACCAAAACTTTTGAACCCTAAAAAGGAATATACTTTAAGGGTGCCTGGTTGGCTCAGTCGGTAGAGCATGTGACTCTTGGGTCTCAGGGTTGTGAGTTCAAGCTCCATATTGGGTGTGAAGCCCACTAAAAATAAAATAAAAATCTAAAAAAAAAAAAAAAAAAAGAGGAATATACTTTGGATATCCCAACCAACAGTGTGAGATTTACCAGATCTTCTAGGTTTCACACAGTCACCATTTCTCAATTGTTTTAATAGAATTTCCAGGAGCCAAAGGCACTTTGAAGTAACGTTCCTCTACACTCACTGATTGTTATATCTCCATGATTGCAAAACATGAAAATAAGAAAACACCAAAGAAACATTATGTACAAAATGAATAGCAAAATTGGAATCTCTGGAGTCAACCATGGAAAAGGATTTACATAGATACTGTCAAATTTCTTAATTTATTTTTAATAAGTAAAAAATCACTCAGTGGTACCATACAAAATCAAATAATTTTTGCACCTGGTATTTTAATCACCAAAAGTGATCTCATGGTACAGAAATAAAACAAATAATGAAAAAAAATTGTCATTAACTTCACACCCTGGCTTTCCAGCTTAGTAGAACTAAATAGAGATTAATGGCAATAACCATTACCTATGGGGAAAAAAAAAAAGCAATGATAAAATGATTTCAGGTTTAATCACAAAATGAACTTAATCCTTGTTGGTTTTGTTTATGTGTATTAAAGCACTGATCACTATAAATAAGAACTGATAGCATGGTTCCAAATTTACTTCTGAAAAGACGTGGAGATTTAAATAAAATATAAGCAAGCTATTAGATCATAGTTGACGATTACTGAATGGCTACCTGGAAAACATCTGTTACTATCATACAAAGCAAAATGAAAATGGGGAAAAGGCTTCTTATAGAAAAGTCCTTTTATTATTGCTAGCCTTAAGAGTTCTAAGCCATAGAGCTCTGATGTTCTGAATTCAATTTTAAGGAATTTTAAACACTATACTTGAACAAAAATTGCTTATTTAAAGGGTATCCATTTCCTTTAAATTCATCCCGTCCACCTATCCTTGCCTCCAATGCAGAGTATCCTTTTATTCATACAAATTCACCTTCCACTCCCAAATATATTTTCCCAATTGGATGATACTTTTACAAAACAATGAAACAATACAGCCGGTTGACAAAGTAATTTCAACTATTTATAAATGAAATAAAAGGAAAGTTAAGTAGAGAGTATAAAAAGATACCAAATAGGAGTAATACTGATGTAAATCTAGTTTTGAGTTTATCAAAGTACCTATTAATGGCCTGAACAAGAGATCAGACTAAAAGCAGCTAGAGGGAAGTGACTTCCTGTGGTTACAAAATGCCAATTGCTTTAGAATGCATGATAGCCTGAGAAATAAAACAAATTGCTGTTTTTACCAAGTTTACAGTGTTGAGTACATTTTATATCATTTTAATGAAAGCATTTATATGAATTTTCTGTAATATCTCCTATCAGAAAACAGAAAGTTTCTATCAATAAAGACCTAAAAAAATAAATTTTTATCTTTGTCAACTCCCTTTCTGGGAATGCAGAATAAAACAGTATGTTTCCCTTTAAAATAAAATATTTTTTTTCTGTCCATTAGGTTGCTGGAAGAAAAAAAAATTAAGACTCAACTAGTAATGATTTTTTTTAATTGCTAATTTTCATCTACTTCTAAGGACACTCCCTTTACAAAACCTTTTAGTCTTATATACTATCACAATCAGGTTTAGAGTTCCAAATAAATAAAATAGCCACATTAGAAGGCATATTGAAGAACCAAATGATTAGCCACACTTATCTGTTCACATTCATGGACCCTCTAAGAGGGTTGTCGGAGTTCATATAATACTGTTAACATTTAATACAAGTTAACATGTGTCATCTGACTTCCTCCTCATGGGTTACAACACTGATGCTATCAACAGAGATCCTGATTTTTGGGAGATAGTGCTATTAACAAACTCCAGTTAAATTAGCAGGACAGTAAACTGTAACCATACAATTTAAAATGACTACTCTTCATTCACTGCTACCATCTCTCCTTTTCCCACTGGTGTTAAACTCAAAAGCCTAATTATAAGAGGTGCAGGGTGCCAAACACTATTTGTATAGAAAAATTGGGTCTCAAATAGTGAACAACAACAAAAAAATTCACAAAGTAAGATTAAACTTTTTGGATAGTTGCATTTGTTACTTTGAATTTCTTGATCTTTTATCTCTTCTGGTGATGGATACATATTTTTTTCCTTCTTTTTATCCAGAGAGGTTAATATAGAAATTTTTCGTAAGCATTACAAAACATCAGTCCAGTTCAAAATTGCTTGTGTTCATATTCACATATGAAGCACTAGACAAGTATAGATTATATTTCAAAATGCTTTAAAATTCTTCACTGTAGTTTTCTACTGATGTTTCCCTTAAATTAAGGCTTCATCAAAGAGAAATCCATAGTATTATGAATTGATTTTTTTTTTCATTCCTGAATTAAGTGCAATCTTTCCAAAATCAAGTAGTCCTGGAATAAATTTAAGACAACTTCTGTTAATCAGTGTCATGACTAAAATAGTATCTTACTGGAGGTCCAGGCAAATCTTCCTCTCCATCAGTGTCTGGAGCAAATGACACAGTAAGATCCACATATTTCTTTTCAGTAGAAGGTTTCACAAGTTTATGCATTCTAAGAAAGATAATCAAGGACAAATAATTTGGTAAGTTCTGTAAAATAAAAGAGATTTGCTATTTAATGTTGCCCAGAGAATCTGACCTGATTAGACTTTACATTTACTTTTAAATCTAATAATTCATCTGCTTTCATATATTATAATTTTTCTTTACTAAAACCTCTAAACTCAAGACATTCATTTATCTAACAGTGAATCAGTCTGGACTACTGCTAGTATTGGTAAAGAATATAAACCATTTGTTAAAGATAATCTCTGCCACCCACAAAACCAAAATGTAAGCAATGTTTTTTAAAAATGAATTATCCTCATATTCCCTATAAAGTGTGGAGGCATCATAAATTCTCTCAAGCATTTCTATGTAAAGAGTAAAAAAGCAAACTAGATTTAAATCTTCAAGCTAATCACAGTGAAAGACATTAAGTTTTACCTTTCTCTTACATCGCATGTATATCCTATTCACTAAAAAACCACTCTGTTGTTGCTATTGTTACTGATATGGTCTTAAATCAAGTTATCACCTATATATATATCCTTAGATTACTAGATTAGCTTTGAGTGAGCTGTCTCCTACCTCCAATCTACTCTGCTACCAGAATCCTCTTAAAATATAAATCTTATTTTACTTTTTTGCCTACTGTTATATATCATATGCCATGTGTACCTATCTCATGCCAGGCCCTGAACAATGTAATCTATTTAAACCTCAGTAATAGCTCTTTCCATTTTACAAAGAAATTTTGTCCCATTTATAACTTCTCATTCTTTCTACCATTTATTCTTATCATCTCATCCTTAAGTTATTCCAAAATACTGATTTCCCAAATAGATCATGCATGTTCTTTATTAGCTGCATGCTTTTGCATAAGCTATTGCTTTTGCCTGATATCCTTTTTCAAAGGTAGCTCAAATGAAATCTATCCTAAGGGAAAGGTTTGAGTTAGTAGTGCCTAAGGTATTCTGTAAAAACCTTTAATTATTCAATTACATTTTAATGATTAACATGTCCCTTTCTCATAATAGACTGGATTCCTTGAGGGCACAGGCTATTTGATAAAGATGTATAATGACAAAATATTAATAGGAGTAACATTTATGGGCTACCTCTCAGTTGCTATTACACTGCTAATCTTTACTATTATTTTAATGCTCAATAGCTATGGGCACAATCATTCCTATTTGTGGATAGAAAACTAAGTTTCAAAAAAGTTCAGTAAGCTACTGAATGTGACAAAACAAGTAGCTGGGCATGGATGTGAATCCAGGTCTTTCTGAAGCCAAGCTTGTCTAGCCACTTAATGGGTCCTTAGTAAATATCTGGTAAATGAAAAATATCATTCATAAAGTATATCATGCTGGAGATTCCAAGTACTGGCCAACTTATAAAGCACTACTGTGAATTACTTGCAACAAATTTTAAATTCCACTAACCAGTATGCTTTAGGACCACACATTCTACTCTCATCTAGGTAGTATACAGGAAATACTATTATTAATGTATCCAAGAGATACTCAGGGATCCTGATGACAAAATAATATAAGGCAAATTAATGCCTTATTATATGTAATAGCAATTTTGTTTTTTAAAGTATAGATCATTAAGCCTGGATTATAGTAATTAAAAGTGATTAATCTCATTAACTGATAATCCTAGTTAAAATATGCATGTTAAAGCACCCATCATGCAGAGATTCATATGACAAATATTTTTACGCTAACTTTTATTTTTTTAATAGAAGTTAACATGTGTCATCTAAACTACTGCTCATGGGTTATAACACTGATGCTATCAATAAAGATCCTGATTTTTGGGAGACAGTGATATTAACAAACTGGTTAAATTAGCAGAGCTAAATCTATTTGATTTCCCAGTGTGCATCACCTTATGTTTTAAGTCTTGTGAATCTTCTGATATAAGGTTCAATACTTACGTTAACTTCAATCTTTTTGCATGACCCGGCATTACAGGAACATAAAGCATTTTGACTCCCTGTACCACCATTGTTGGTTCAATTCCATACTTCTCCTAAAAGTAAATACCAAGAGAGAAACAATCAAAGCTATGTCCAGATATAAAAGGCTGGGTGACAATGTTTTACAACCAGTAAAAGGACAGCAGACAAATTTCTGCTAAATATTATTTGTGAAAACCTCCAAATAATGAATTAAGTAAATAAATGTCTCACTTTGACTGCATTTATGAAATCCAAGAGGGTGAAGTCTTCTTTTCCATGTATAGTCCATCTGTCCCAAATTGTAAATGATATTCCATTTCTGTTGTAGAAAAATATTCAAAACAAAAACATTTTAATATTTTTCCCTTTAATAATAATAAAAAGCCCCAGAAGTCCATTATTTTTGATTTAGCTACATAATAACATAGGGGAAAAAGAAAAAACAACTTATTTCTCCATTACACCATACAAGGTAACCACTTTTATCAGAACACCTTGTTGATCCTTCCAGTGTCTGATAATAAATCAGGGTGTCTTAGCAAGAGAGCTTAATGCTAAATAATGCTAAATAATGTGGCAGATTAAATGTTGTGAGTGTTCTATGGCTAGTTTAATCAGAAATGCTTTGCATAAAGCAAAAGAATAAAATTGGGCCACTATCTTACACCACACAAAAATTAACTCAAGGAGTTCCTGACTAGTTCAGTCGGTAGGGCATGTGATTCTTGATCTCGGGGTTGTTAAGTTTGAGCCCTACATTGGGTGTAGAGATTACTTAAAAATAAAATCCTAAAAAATAATTAACTCAAAATGGATTAAAGATCTGCATATAAGACCTGAAACCATAAAGCTCCTAGAAGAAATGGTGGTAATAAGCTTCTTGACATCAGTCTTGGTGATGGTTTTTTACATTTGGTACCAAAAGCAAAAGGATGGAGATTCCTTAAAATATTAAAAACAGAATTACCATATGATCCAGCAATTCCACTTCTGAGTATTTATCCAAAGAAAATGAAAGCAATCACTCAAAATATATCAGCACCCACATGTTCACTGAAGCATTATTTGTAATAGCTAAGGTACTGATATAGAAACAACCTAAGTGTCCATCAATGGGTGAATGGATAAAGAAAATGTGATACACACATACACAGAAATATAATTCAGCCATAAAAAAGAAATCTTGTTATTTGGAACATCATTAGCATTATGCTAAGTGAAATAAGTCAGACAGAGAAAGACAAATAAATACCTGTATTTCACTTATATGTGGAATCTTAAAAAAAAAAACAACCCTGAAACTGAGCTCATAGATACAGACAACAGATTGGTAGTTGCCAGAGGTGGGGCTGGGGGATGAGCAAAATGGGTGAAAAGAGTCAAATGGTACGAGCTTTCAGCTTATAAAGTTAATCATGGGTATGTAATGGGCAGCATGGTGACTACAGTTAATAAAATAATATACTGTGTAGTTGAAAGTTGCTAAGAGAGCAGATCTTAAAAGATCTTATTATAAGGAAAAAAAGAGGCTAACTATGTATGCTGATGATGTTGACTGGGCTTATTGTTTTGATCATTTCTTAATACATACAGGTGCTGAATCAATGTGTTGCACACCTGAAACTAATCTAATGCATGTCAATTATGTCTCAATTAAAAAAAAAAAGCAATGCTTCATGAAGATGGGATTCTGACCTAGTCTTGAAGTGATGGCAAGGATCACTATATTTATATATATATATACATATATATGTATATATATATATATACACATATCTCAAAAAGAAAAGGAGAGGTAAAACTACGATTTTTTTCCTTTTAGAGGGTAAAAATTTTATTTCATTTTCATTATGCAGGAGAAATAGACCTTCACGCATACCTGATTTCAGTTCTTTTTACTTCAGATGTCTCTGTAAACACTATAATTGGAATGGCTAAGTTAAGGAAACAATTTTTGTAAGCTTCAAACGGATAGTCACCAGCTACTTTGATCATCTCCAATGCAACCTAGATAAAAGAAGGTGATCTGATTATATAAAGAGCCCAAACCTATTCACGACTTCATTCATCTGTTTAATTTTCCTAAATTCTACTCAAGCATTTCTCTGTAAAGAAAGAGTAAAAGCAGCTACTGGATTAAAATAATAGGAATTTCTTATGAATCTGTCCACTTTTAGCATATCTTATACTTTCAAACTTTTTACCTGTTCTGTATGGGGTGAAAAAAGTTACCAAAAAAATTATTTTGGTTATATAATCTTCCTATTTTGGAAGATAACAGAACTCAAGAAATACAACAGTCTAAAATAATTTAATATAGGGGCAGATAATTACACAGCTTCTAAGTATAACACTATAGTACAGCAAAAGAACTAGGGCCAGCCTAAAGATTCTGAATCATTAAGGAAAGATTAAGTTGTAAGAAATCTGAATCACTAACAGGAATTACATTTTTTAAGGCAAAAAACTAAAATCCAATACAATCAAAGAGTAACCATTAGAGCAGTTCATCTTTTTTTTTTTTTTTTTTTTTTTTTAGATTTTATTTATTTATTTGAGAGAGAGAGTGAGAGAGAGAAAGAGCACAAGAGGGGGGAGCGGGAGAGGGAGAAGCAGACTCCCTGCCGAGCAGGTAGCCCGATGCGGGACTTGATCCCGGGACTCCAGGATCATGACCTGAGCCGAAGGCAGTCCTTAACCAACTGAGCCACCCAGGCGCCCGAGCAGTTCATCTTATTCAAGAAAAATACAGTACCTACTTTGTATGAAGGATACAAGAGTGATTAAGAGGATTATTGCTTATAAGAAAAATTATACTATCTTGACACAGGTTAATTTTTATGTTAAAATGTCTATGTATCTGTAAAGCTTCAAAATGTGGACTACTGTATTTTCAGAAATATCTTGAAATTTAAAATTATAAGATCAATATGGATCCCTCCTCTAAGATCTCTGAGTGACTAGCTGGGGTGGTACAATGGGAAAAACAGGTAAGAGACAATAAAAAGAAGTATTTCCATTCAAAGAATAATAAACTCACCAAGCCAGAAACTGCAGCAGTGGATGTTGCTATAGCAGGTATAATTTTACCAGCTATGCGCTTTGTTTTAAAACGGTCAGCTGGTTCAATACTATACATTTTGGCACGAAGGTTCGATGCAGCTGTAATGAAATCTATGTGTCCATTGCGATCGTCATCTTTTTCAAATGAAAGCACTGCCACCTGAAGATCACCTGATCATAATAACCAGAAAAATAAAGTTTTGTAGTAATTTGTAAAGGTTTTACTAGGTAAAAAGCAATGTGGATTCACTATTCTTAAATATTCCTGTATGTTTTTAAATGACTGAAATATATTAGAAAAATCCAGGAAAATGAAGTTATTGAAGGCTTTGATATCACTAAATCAGAGAAGTTTCTATATTAAAAAAATCTTTCTAAAACACAGAAAGTAAGAAAGCTATGTACCACATCTGCTATTAAGCTGTTTACAAATAAAATTGTTAACGCTGGGTACTGTTCTAAAGTTGATTTCATAAATACTACTCTGAAACATTTTGCCTCTGATAACTTAGGATAGGGTCAGTTAAAATCTAATAAAAAAAATATATGTTTGAAATATTTCTAGATTAGTGGTTTTTAAAAATCATTCTGTAGATAGAGGTAGTTTGATCTGTTATGAAATGAGAAAGAAATGGAAGTTTTTTTCTAGAATTGTAATGATTAAATTAACATATTTTATTTACAAAATAAATAGTTGGCTAACCTAGGTTATTTTTTCCTGAATTTTACTGGTTTGTGCATAAATATCCTGAAAGTCTGGAAACTGCTGATTTATGTTATAAAAGATGGTGAGCAGGTCTAAAAACAAGAGCAAATGGCTCTGTTTTTAAGGAATACAAGTTTGGTTTCCTTATGTTTAAAACCATTTAACAAGGATGTATACAGGTCAAGTTGTAATTCCTGTGTATGACTATGGAGACTAATAAACCAGGAATAATTCTGTCTATGGTTTTTTATCCTAAAGTGGCTTCACTGGGTCTAAGTGTTAGTCTATACAGGACCTTCATTTTTTTTCTCATTATGCTGGCCATGCGTTAAAAAGGAATCACACAGTAGAATCTTAAGGACTAAACCAATCAGAACAATGACAATAAAGCAGACTTACATTTCAGCAATTGAGGATAGGGCAAGGGTGAAAAAATAATGAATTTAGTCACAGTTAAAGATGAACAGTGACTTACATATGATCACGAAATCAACTAACATCATTATTATAGTTATTATTTAGTCCCATAAGCTTTTGGGTATAGAGTTTATTGAAAATAAAAATTCCCTCCAGTTCAAATCATTTTTATAAAGATTTCCCCTTACTTGTGGTAGCTTTATTAGATGAAATAGCCTTTTCTAGTTGGAAAACAGCATTCCTTTCATCTTCACTGCTAATAGGAACATGGTCTGGTTTCCTCGCAGTTTCATCTGTTTGAACAACCTTTAAATACATGGACATATATTCATTAATGTTATCATATCCTATACCTAAGTTTGATTACCATATCTGTTTTACCAAATAAGTCACACAGAGAAGACTAAACCTCTACCTGGTTTAATCACATTATTTTTTATATGTTTTTAAATCACTGAAATATATGAGAAAAGTCCAGGAAAATGGAGTTATTAAAGGATATGCAAAGGATGGCTTTGATATCACTAAATCAGGGCGTGGAGCCTAATACAGGGCCTTAAACTCACAACCGTGAGATCAAGACCTGAGCCTAGAATGAGTCAGACACTTAACGACTGAGCCAACCAGGTGTCCCTAGTTTTATCACATTAATCATTATGGTCCAATGTATTTTACACCTTCCATTGTTAAGTAATATTATGTTATTTATGTATTTGTTTTATTACCTATCTCTTCACACTGACATGTAAACTCTTAGAACAGGGATCTTTATCTTGTTCATTGAGAGAACTTCAATATATTTAAAACAAATTTACTCATGTTAAAATATTCACTGAATAGCTTATAAGATCTGCATTCATACAGATCTCTTAAAATTCCACAGTAGAATGAAGTTAATATTAATCAACAGTCTGTAATTCTGACAAATCTACCTCAAACCAAATTGCATAGCTCTAATGCAGAGCTGTTTCTGTCTCCAAAGAAATCCGTAAAATATATAATATGTGCATCCTTTAAATATTTGCTGACAAGAAGCTGTTTCCTAAAGAATGTCTTCCTTTACCCTCATATAGATGCATGCTCAGAGCAGCACATCTAAGTAATATATCTTTAAGAAATTACTTATTAGACATTCCACAAGGGCAGTAAAGTTAATATTTTCAAACCAAAAAACTACATCATCACTAATTAAAAATACTATTTCTTTGTATAGTACACACTCAACTTGTGTTTTTACAGATTAAGTATTCTTGTAAGTATTTGAGAAACAGTAAAGAGTCAAGGAAGCAGAAACTTTTATTTGCCAGAATGTCTAGTTGATATTTTTGGCATCTATTAACTAGAAGTGCTAGACTCTGAAGTTTCGGTGTTAGTTGCTTCAGGGAGTTGCAAAAAGCTCATAATTCACGTTAAAACTAAAACTGTAGCTAAAATGCTCAGGATAATTTATTACCCCAAAACTTTGATAGAGAAAGAAGCAATTCAAGCCACAAAACACTGAAGAGCAGTAAGCATTAGTAAAGTTATCCATACATGTTTCTTTGGCTTCTGTCTAGCAGTTCTGTCTACTAGGAACATGTGCTAGGAACCTTATTTAAAAAAAAATTATCTGAATATAGTTGACACACAATGTTACATTATTTTCAGGTGTACAACATAGTGATTCAATTTCTCCATAAGTTATGCTATGTTCACAAGTATAGCTACCATCTGTCACCATACATTGCTATTACAGTATCAATGACTATATTCCCTATCCTGTGCCTTTTATTCCCTTGACTTATTCATTCCACAACTGGAAACTCCTTTATATAGGAATTCTGTTTACCTTTCTGTTCTTTTATTCTTGATAAGCTACAAGTCATGAACATTTCAATCAGCACATCCATTTACTTGTTCAATATCAAACAGCTACAAATTTTCCTTTTTCCTAAAATAAAAGTGCAGAGTGGAAGACTGCACACATCACTTCCTCCTTGAATTTTATAGGGAGGCAATCATTATTCTTTATTTTTCAATACAGCTAGAGGGTAAGGGGAACAAAAGATTGTTTTGTAGATGATTTTTAGAGTGTATACAAAAAGGCATATAATGAGCATGTGAAAAAGAAAATTACTTAATATTTTCAAACTTTCCCATTTACCCTGCCTAAATTTCATGTTCCATCTTTATTAATACTCCTTACTCCTTATCTCTTTTTCCTTCTAACATATTTGCCCAGCAAGAGCCCAACCCTAATTTTTTCCAATTTTCCAGCTATTCTACAGCAGCACCCAGGCATTTAAATGCCTTTTTTCCCAGCCACATTTAGTATAATACATTAAGTGGATTAACATTAAGTGGATTCTCAGTGCTATCTCAAAATTCTACTCCATCTTCTAGTAAGTAACTTTCCCACCCCCATGAGCAATTATCTCACACCTTTTTTCCTCTGCTCAAACTTCCTTTAACTTCTCCTCCTCCTCACCTGGAGCAATTAAGCATGCTTCTTATTTCAACTAAGAAAGTAACAATCTTTTTTTCTCTTACATTCCAATTCTAATCTCTTTCAAATCCTGTCAGGACTATTATAATATATACCAGAATCCAATCCCTTATTACAAATTACCTGTTACCTACTACTTCATTCAAAACACCATCATCTTTTGCCTATAACATCCTAAGAGCTTTTCATGCTTCCTCTCTCATATCCTATATAATCATTCTTAACACAACAGCCACAGTCATCCTTTTAAATTTATTTCATCCTCTGCTTAAAATCATTCACTGGCTCACCTCATAATAAAACATTAAGTATTTATCATAACCCTAAGTATCTCTCCTATCTCACTGTCTACCACTCTTCTTGCGTATTCTCCTTCAGAAAAATCCTGGCCTTCAAAGTCTTTCAAGGCCTTTCAAGGCAAGAACTTGTTCTTGCTTGTGTTTCACCACATAATAGCATGGCTCACTCCATCACTTCCTTCAGGCTTCTGCCCAAATGGTACTATGTCAGAGAGGCTTTCCCCTTTAGCCCAATAAAATGACACCAGCTCCATCACCCTTTATTCCTTTTCCTTGTTTTATTTTTAGTTCTTAGCACTATGCCAATATTGAAATATTATAAAATAGCATTTTTTTTTTTAACAGTCCACCTCTGGCCCAATAGACTATAACTTCCATAAGAATATGACTTTTGCTGTGTTCACTGCGGGATTCTCCAGGTTTAGAATGGACGTGATACAAGTAAAAGTTCAATAACTATTTGCTGAGTGAATAAATTTCTAAACATACCTTGTTAGAAGGTTTGAATTCTTGAATCTTTACTTCAGAAAGAATATTCAAGAGGGCATCTGCTGATAAGTCCTGTTTTTTTAAAGAGTAATTTTATGAAAAAACATTTTTTAAAATTCTGAATTCCAAAGCTAAAAAATCCTAAAAGGTCCTTACCATACTAAACTATTTGAATAATTTATCATCGGATTATTTAGACTACATCCACTTTGAATTTACCCTTATTCTACAAAATACCATTCATAAAGGGTGGGAGGCAGGGGTGGTGTGTAGGAAAAATTACTCATTAGTCAACAAACTTGAAATCTTAGTTCTTCCCATAAATTTTTAAAAAGGTAGTTTTAGGGCTGGTTGTATCAGACTGAGTGCTTTGCGATCAGGGACTATCTTGTAATTGTTTTATAAAGTTCCCTGCACAAAGTTAGACTCAATAAATACTAACTCAATAAATAAAATACATAAGTAAATGGAATTCATACCTTTGGAAGCAGAAAAATATTTAAATAGCTCAAGATGAACTTAGATGAATTCAAGGCTATCAGATCTATATTATTAAGAAGCTGCTTAGGAAAAACTAAGACATACTGCTTTTGAGGTCACCTACACTCTTATCACAAAATTGCCACTCTTTTAACAAAAAGAATACCAGACTGAATGGCACTATTTTAACCAGATATTTATGGTATATTTTACCATTAGCTCCAAAAAGGATTAATTTACAGTAGGCATTTTTATCTGGGTCCAAAATAGCCAGTGTTAATTATGGCTCTGGTGCCTATTTCCTCATTCAGCCCACCTAAAAGTATAGCAATTTATTTGACTCTATTTTGTATCTGTGAAGAAAAAAATCACGAATGCAGATCCGCCTCTCAATTAAAACTGTGTTAGACCCTTTAGATGTTAGTAAAGATGATGTCTAAGGGAATAGGATAAGGGTTAAGAAATGTCAATATGGGATAGCATTTTAAATTTCTTGAAATTTGAAGACATAAGTTATTATCACAAAATAAATCAAAGAAATGTTAACAAAGAGAATCTCTAAGGAATATTTAAAAATGGTTACAAAATCGTTCATTTTGGGTTTTCAGAGTAATTATGATAATTGAAGCTAACAGGTTATAAATGCTTTAAAAGTAAAGACAGGTCTTACATATACTTGTTTCATTACTTTAGAAAGAAAAATTTGACTTTCTTCTACTTAGTAATTCTGCAACAAGATTTTAGCTTCTGCTATGTTAGAATGGACAATACAACAAAACAAAAAGTTTACATCAAAGAACAATTCTTGTAACATAAAAACATATTTTGATGATGTAATTAGCTGATAGGTCATCAAATTTTTACCTGGTTTTGTATCACTTCCTAGAACTTGAAGGTTATCTTACCTCTTCTCTAAATGGAATGCAATAGACTGCAGCATATAGTTTTGCAGCATTCAGAAGAAAACTGAAGTGCCTTTTGAAATTAAAAAATAAGGCAAAGTGTGAATGAATGCACAGTTTCAAAGATGTTTAATTCATCAAAAACTATAGTCTTTGAAATGTTTAAGAAAAATAATCACGGAACTTTTGTTACAGAAATATTTAAAAGCTAGGCAATGAACTTCTGGTGTAGACCAAAGAAATTATAGAAGCTATAAGAAATATTAGATGTCTATCCTTCTAAGTACAAATATTCAGGAAAAGATCGTGACTACTTTGGGGAGAGGAGTGGCGAAAAGTAGAAAAATTAGACTAGTAAAAGAAAATTTATTTTAATTCATAAAAAAATTAGAAATTTTGTTTTAAAGAACATACATTAGGTTCAAATTAAGCAAATGAAGTTTGACTAAAAACACAAATAAAGCAGGTCTTATAGGAGAAGCCATCAGGATAAGGTGACTGGAAGCCAAACATAAACATCACATGAGAAAATTAAATGGGAGTTATTTGTTGAAAGGAGGTTGTTAACAAGCTAAGTGTTTAACTGGAATACATACATATGGGGGTATGTGTGTGTGTGTATAAAAATGTCTGTCTAAACATTAACTACTTTGAAAATTAATTTGAGATAATTTAGGGAGATATTTAATAGTAATTATTTTCCCCCCAAATAACTAAAGTTTCTTAAATACTGGCTTCATTTAATAGGAAAACATCTGTTGTCGTTTTATGGTTTTTGCTTATGGATAAAGTCAAAGAGGTAACACTTTGGTTTCACTTAAGTTAAAAATAATGAAGTTATTTTACCATTTAAACAAACATATTCATGTATGTGTAGGGAGAGTGACTGTGTCTGGCTTTATTGGCCAGATTAATATGCTAACTCTTAGAATAACAGGGATGCAATAATTTAACATTTCCAGAGCCTGAGGTTTTCACCCTGCAATGTAAACCGATAGACAGTTAAGAAATTTACAATAAAGGAGGCATATAAAACTGGATATAAATACTTACAAAGGTTCATTTAAATCAAATTTTATTGGAGAAGGGGGCCTCTTCGGTGATTGCCAAAACAAACCTAACAAAAGATACAGATATTATTTTCATTATAGGTTACTAGTAATAAATTATATTAAACATTCTTCTCAACACTTGGTCACACTTACTGCCATCTTTTAATCGTGTGTCTAGAGGAAAACAGTGAAGAAGCTGAAGAGCCTAAAGAAAAAAGATTAATTTAAAAAATTACTACTTAATATTATCTGGGGTAAAAAAATAAATAAATAAAAAATGCATAAAAGATATATACTGAAGCCTCCAGCTACCCTTGTATTCTCTCTATCCATTCTCCTGTCACTGCCCCCATATGTGGAATAACCTCTATTGTTATTTTTTAATTATTATGTTAATCACCATACATTACATCACTAGTTTTTGATGTAGTGTTCCATGATTCATTGTTTGTGCATAACACCCAGTGCTCCATGCAGAATGTGCCCTCTTTAATACCCATCACCAGGTTAACCCATCCTCCCACTCCCCTCCCCTCTAGAACCCTGTTTGTTTCTCAGAGTCCATAGTCTCTTATGGTTTGTCTCCCCCTCCTATTTCCCCCCTTCATTCTTCCCCTCCTGCTATCTTCTTTTTTTTTATTAACATATAATGTATTATTTGTTTCAGAGGTACAGGTCTGTGATTCAAACAGACTTACACAATTTACAGCGCTCACCATAGCGCTAACCCTCCGCAATGTCTATCACCCAGCCACCCCATCCCTCCCACCCCCCACCACTCCAGCAACCCTCAGTTTGTTTCCTGAGATTAAGAATTCCTCCTATCAGTGAGGTCATATGATACATGCCTTTCTCTGACTTATTTTGCTCAGCATAATACCCTCCAGTTCCATTCAGGCCGTTGCAAATGACAAGATTTCATTCCTTTTGATGGCTACATAATATTCCATTGTATATACATACCACATCTTCTTTATCCATTCATCTGTCGATGGACATCTTGGCTCTTTCCACAGGTTGGCTATTGTGGACATTGCTGCTATAAACATCAGGGTGCATGTACCCCTTCAGACCCCTACATTTGTATTTTGGGGTAAATACCCAGTAGTGCAATTGCTGGATCGTATGGTAGCTCTATTTTCAACTTTTTGAGGAACCTCCATACTGTTTTCCAGAGTGGCTGCACCAGCTTGCATTCCCACCAACAATGTAGGAGGGTTCCCCTTTCTCCGCAATCCCACCAACATCTGTCATTTCCTGACTTGTTAATTTTAGCCATTCTGACTGCTGTGAGGTGGTATCTCTTTGAGGTTTTGATTTGGATTTCCCTGATGCTGAGCAATGTTGAGCACTTTTTCATGTGTCTGTTGGCCATCTGGATGTCTTCTTTGGAAAAATGTCTGTTCATGTCTTCTGCCCATTTCTTGATTGGATCATTTGTTCTTTGGGTGTTCAGTTTGATAAGTTCTTTATAGATTTGGGATACTAGCCCTTTATCTGATATGTCATTTGCAAAGATCTTCTCCCATTCTGTTGGATGTCTTTTGGTTTTGTTGACTGTTTCCTTTGCTGTGCAAAAGCTTTTTATCTTGATGAAGTCCCAATAGTTCATTTTTGCCCTTGCTTCCCTTGCCTTTGGTGATGTTTCTAGGAAGAAGCTGCTGCAGCTGAGGTCGAAGAGGTTGCTGCCTGTGTTCTCCTTTAGGATTTTGATGGACTCCTGTCTCACATTTAGGTCTTTAAACCATTTGGAGTCTATTTTTGTGTGTGGTGTAAGGAAATGGTCCAGTTTCATTCTTCTGCATGTGGCTGTCCAATTTTCCCAACACCATTTGTTAAAGAGACTTTTTTCCATTGGACATTCTTTCCTGCTTTGTTGAAGATTAGTTGACCATAGAGTTGAGGGTCCATTTCTGGGCTCTCTATTCTGTTCCATTGATCTATGTGTCTGTTTTTGTGCCAGTACCATACTGTCTTGATGATGACAGCTTTGTAATAGAGCTTGAAGTCCGGAATTGTGATGCCACCAGTTTTGCTTTTCTTTTTCAACATTCCTCTGGCTATTCGGGGTCTTTTCTGGTTCCATACAAATTTTAGGATTATTTGTTCCATTTCTTTGAAAAAAGTGGATGGTATTTTGATAGGGATTGCACTGAATGTGTAGATTGCTCTTTGACATCTTCACAGTATTTGTTCTTCCAATCCATGAGCATGGACTGTTTTTCCATTTCTTTGTGTCTTCCTCAATTTCTCTCATGAGTATTTTAGTTTTCTGAGTACAGATTCTTTGCCTCTTTGTTTAGATTTATTCCTAAGTATCTTATGGTTTTGGGTGCAATTGTAAATGTGAGTGACTCCTTAATTTCTCTTTCTTCTGTCTTGTTGTTGGTGTATAGGAATGCCACTGATTTCTGTGCATTGGTTTTATATTCTGCCACTTTACTGAATTCCTGTATGAGTTCTAGCAGTTCTGGGGTGGAGTCTTCGGTTTTCCACAAAAGTATCATATCATCTGCAAAGAGTGAGAGTTTGACTTCTTCTCTGCCAATTCAGATGCCTTTTATTCCTTTTTGTTGTCTGCTGTGGCTAGGACTTCTAATACTATGTTGAATAGAAGTGGTGATAGTGGACATCCCTGCCGTGTTCCTGACCTTAGGGGGAAAGCTTTCCATTTTTCCCCATTGAAAATGATACTTGCTGTGGGTTTTTCATAGATGGCTTTTATGATATTGAGGTATGTGCCCTCTATCACTATGCTCTGAAGAGTTTTAATCAAGAAAGGATGCTGTACTTTGTCAAAAGCTTTTTCTGCATCTATTGAGAGGATCATATGGTTCTTGTTCTTTCTTTTATTAATGTATTGTATCACATTGATTGATTTATGGATGTTGAACCAACCTTGCAGCCCAAGGATAAATCCCACTTGGTCGTGGTGAATAATCCTTTTAATGTACTGTTGGATCCTATTGGCTAGTATTTTGGTGAGAATTTTTGCATCCGTGTTCATCAAGGATATTGGTCTGTAATTCTCCTTTTTGAAGGGGTCTTTGTCTGGTTTGGGGATCAAGGTAATGGTGGCCTCATAAAATGAGTTTGGAAGTTTTCCTTCCATTTCTATTTTTTGGAACAGTTTCAGAAGAATAGGTATTAATTCTTCTTTAAATGTTTGGTAGAATTCTGCTGGGAAGCCATCTGGCCCTGGGCTTTTGTTTGTTGGGAGATTTTTGATTACTGCTTCAATTTCCTTACTGGTTATAGGTCTGTTCAGGTTTTCTATTTCTTCCTGGTTCAGTTTTGGTAGTTGATACATCTCTAGGAATGCAGCCATTTCTTCCAGATTATCTAATTTGCTGGCATATAGTTGTTCATAATATGTTCTTATAACTGTTTGTATTTCTTTGGTGTTGGTTGTGATCTCTCCTCTTTCATTCATGATTTTATTTATTTGGGTCATTTCTCTTTTCTTTTTGATAAGTCTGGCTAGGGATTAATCAATCTTGTTAATTCTTTCAGAGAACCAGCTCCTAGTTTCATTGATCTGTTTTACTGTTCTTTCGGTTTCTATGTCATTGATTTGTGCTCTGATCTTTATTATTTCTCTTCTCCTGCTGGGTTTAGGCTTCATTTGCTGTTCTTTCTCCAGCTCCTTTAGGTGTAGGGTTAGCTTGTGTATTTGAGACCTTTCTTGTTTCTTCAGAAAGGCTTGTATTGCTATACATACTTTCCTCTCAGGACCGCCTTTGCTGTATCCCAAAGATTTTGAACAGTTGTTTTCATTTTCATTTGTTTCCATAAATTTTTTTAATTCTTCCTTAATTTCCTGGTTGACCATTCATTCTTTAGTAGGATGCTCTTTAGCCTCCATGTATTTGAGTTCTTTCCAACTTTCCTCTTGTGACTGAGTTCTAGTTTCAAAGCATTGTGGTCTGAAAATATGCAGGGAATGATCCCAATCTTTGGGTACTGGTTGAGACCTGATTTGTGACCTAGGATGTGATCTATTCTGGAGAATGTTCCATGGGCACTAGAGAAGACTCTGTATTCTGTTCCTTTGGGATGGAATGTTCTGAATATATCTGTGAAGTCCATTTGGTCCAGTGTGTCATTTAAAGTCTTTATTTCCTTGTTGATCTTTTGCTTAGATGATCTGACCATTTCAGTGAGAGGGGTGATAAAGTCCCCCACTATTACTGTATTGTTGTCAATGTGTTTTTTTGCTTTTGTTATTAGTTGGCTTATATAATTGGCTGCTCCCATGTTAGGGGCATAGATATTTACAATTGTTAGATCTTCTTGTTGGATAGACCCTTTAAGTAGGATATAGTATCCTTCCTCATCTCTTATTACAGTCTTTGGTTTAAAATCTAATTTGTCTGATGTAAGGATTGCCACCCTAGCTTTCTTTTGGTGTCCATTAGCATGGTAAATGGTTTTCCACCCCCTCACTTTCAATTTGGGGGTGTCTTTGGGTCTAAAATGAGTCTCTTGCAGACAGCATATCGATGGGTCTTGTTTTTTAATCCAGTCTGATAGCCTGTGTCTTTTGATTGGAGCATTTAGCCCATTTACATTCAGGGTAACTATTGAAAGATACAAATTTAGTGCTACTGTATTGCCTGTAAGGTGACTGTTACTGTATATAGTGTGGGTTCCTTTCTGGTCTATGTTACTTTTAGGCTCTCTCTGCTTAGAGGACCCCTTTCAATATTTCTTGTAAGGTTGGTTTCGTGTTTGCACATTCCTTTAATTTTTGTTTGTCCTGGAAGCTTTTATCTCTCCTTCTATTTTCAATGACAGCCTAGCAGGATATAGTATTCTTGGCTGCATATTTTTTCATTTAGTGCTCTGAATATATCATGCTAGTCCTTTCTGGCCTGCCAGGTCTCTGTGGATAGGTCTGTTGCCAATCTAATGTTTTTACCATTGTAGGTTACAGATCTCTTCTCCCGAGCTGCTTTCAGGATTTTCTCTTTGTCTCTGAGACTTGTGAGTTTTACTATTAGATGTGGGTGTTGACCTATTTTTATTGATTTTGAGAGGGGTTCTTTGTGCCTCCTGGACTTTGATGCGTTTCCTTCCCCAAATTAGGGAAGTTCTCTGCTATAATTTGCTCCAATATACCTTCTGCCCCTCTCTCTCCTCCTTCTTCTTCTGGGTTCACAATTATTCTAATGTTTTTTTGTCTTATGGTATCACTTATCTCTCGAATTCTGGCCTCGTGATCCAGTAGTTATTTATCTTTTTCTCAACTTCTTTATTTACCATCTGGTCTTCTATATCACCAATTCTCTCTTCTGCCTCATTTATCCTAGTAGTTAGAGCGCCTATTTTTGATTGCACCTCATTAATAGCCTTTTTGATTTCGACTTGGTTAGATTTCAGTTCTTTTATTTCTCCAGAAAGGGTTTCTCGAATATCTTCCATGCTTTTTTCAAGCCCAGCTACTATCTTTAAAATCATCAATCTGAACTCTAGTTCCAACATCTTAGTAATGTCTGTATTGATTAGGTCCCTGACAGTCGGTACTGCCTCTTGTTCTTTTTGTTGAGGTGATTTTTTCCGTCTTGTCATTTTGTCCAGAGGAGAATAGATGAATGAGAACAAAATGCTAACAGGGTAACAACGTCCCCACAAAATATATACTAAACAAATCAGAAAAGACCTGAAACCGGAGGAAAAGAAAGGGAAAGAAAGAAAAAAGGGAAAAAAAGAAAAAGATAAAAACAAAAACAAAACAAAACAAAATATGATCAAATATTATCAGGCTGCTGCATAGATCATTGCCACACACTAGATTTTGGGCATATTTTGGTCTGTTAGAAGAAAGTGCTTCCCAAAATTTTAAAGAAAGAACAACTTATATATGTACAAAAATAAGGGTTAATACAATGAAGGGATGGAATATGATTGTAAAAATGAAAATTATAAAAGATTTTATAAATGGAATTGATAAGAAGTTGGTTGAGAAAAGAAAGATGAGGATTAAAAAAAAAAGGGAGAGAATGTGATCAGGCAGGAGACTAGAACAAAGCTATAGACTAGAGATTTAGGGTATATTTTGATCTGTTAGAAGAAACTGTATCCCAAAATTTTAAAGAGAGAAATTATATATATATACCAAAAATAAGGTTAACTAATATGAAGGGATAGAATATGACTCTAAAAATGAAAAAAAAAAAAAAAGATTTTTTAAAAAAGGGATTGATAAGATGTTGGCTGAAAAAGAGAAAAAGAAAAATTAAAAAACAAAAAAAACTTTGAAAGACTAAAGAACATGGGAAAAAAGCCATGAATTCTATGTGCAGTATTCACCTAGCACTGGAGTTCTGCCATTCTCATTGATTGGTAAACTTGGTCTTGGCTGGTGGTTCTTGCTGATCTTCTGGGGGAGGGGCCTGTTGCCATGGTTCCCAAATGTCTTTGCCAGAGGTGGAATTGCTGCTCCCCTTGCCGGGTCCGGGCTAAGTAATATGCTCGGGTTTGCTCTCGGGAGCTTTTGTTCCCTGCAAACTTTCTGTACAGCTTTGGAGGAGGACAGTGAAAACTGCGGCCTCCCAATCTCCGCCCCGGGGGAGCTGAGAACTCGGGCCCCACTCCTCAGTGAGCCCCCAGAGAAAAGCAATCACTCCCATCTCCCTGGACTCCGGCAGCACTCCGTGCTCACCCGGCCTGTGACTGAGCGTTTCTATCTCTGGCACCCGACCCCGTGTGGAGTCTCCAAACCCAGCAGATCCCTGCGGTGAGCTCCTGTGCCGCTCCTCCTCAGGGAGGAAGGGGAGTCTTCCCGGATCTGCCGCTTGTTGGGTCCCTGCTGGAGGAGCAGGGGCCTGACTGTGCCATGGATCACAGTTTATGGCAACCCTGAGCTGAGAGCCTGCTCCTCAGCTGTGTCTCTGCAGCTGGCTTCCCCGCTCCAATACCTGAGAGCTCTGCCGCACTCAGGCACCCCCGGTCTTTCTGTGACCCCGAGGGTCCTGAGACCACACTGTCCCAGCGAGAGTTCCATCCCTCAGTGGAGGAGACGTCTAAAAGTTCTGATTTTGTGCTCTGTGGCTCTATTGCTTGCCAGAAGCAGCCGACAGAGGTCCCCTCCCCCGCCGCCTATCCTCCTGAATATTGCCTCGGATTCACTTCTCTGCATGTCCTACCTTCCAGAAAGTGGTCGCTTTTCTGCTCAGAATTGTTGCTATTCTTTTCATTAATCTCCTGTTGAGTTCGTAGGTGTTTAGAATGGTTTGATTCCTATCCATCTGAATTCCTGGGACCAGACGAAATCCAGGTCTCCTGCTCCTTTGCCATCTTGCTTCTCCCCCCCCTTGTTATTTTTTATCAACACTTAGTTTTTTCTTTTTTTGCATCTACAGCAAACATGAATATACATTATTTTATCACTTTTTACACAACAGTGGCATATTTTACCTACAATTCTGCTCCTTTCAAAGAGCTAATTTACAAAAAAACGAAACCAGTAAAAATATACAATATTTTGTATTTTGAGATGATAAATGATGTTTGAGATACACTTCAATACCATCTGGGGAGGGTATATTGGGAAGGTTATATGGATGAAACAAGATTATCTACAAGTTGATAAATGTTAAACCTGGGTGACAGATTTGTCAAAGTTACATGGGGGTTCATTACACTATTTTTTCCACTTTCCCTGGTTGAATTTTTCCATAGCAAAAGAGCTTAGAAAAAAAAAAGTACAAAAGGTAAGGACTAGAAAGAGTTCTTTAGATTTTGAAACAAGGGGTCATTGATAATTATGGTAAAAATAATTTGAATAGGAGTGGGGAAAGAAGACACATTCACTGGATGAGGAAGTAGCAACAGTAAGTGTAAGACCACTTACGTAAGCAGCCGAGCCAAGAAGGAAATGAAAAGCAAGGATAAGTGTAATCAAAAGACTTTTTTAAAAAGATGAACTTACTTTATAGTCCGATAGGTAAGAGCCTAAAGAGAGGGAGAGACTCAAGAGAGAGTGCAGGACACATTCTAGCAACTGCGAGTAATGGGAGATAAGAATAACAGCTAATATTTAGTGAGCACTTATGGGCTAGGTTCTGCTCAAAATGCTTTGCATGTATTCACTTATTTGATCCTCACACTACCCTATGAATTATGCACCAATTTATTAACCCCATTTTACAAATGAGGAAACAGAAAACAGACATAAAATGTGATTTTGGATATTGGTGGGCAAGGCAAAATTCAACTTTCTTACTGAACATCTCTATTTTCTCAGTTTCTTCCTTTATTCTGAACAACAAATTTCTTTTAGACTACTGATGAAATGTATTCCTTATTCTCCAGAAGGAACACCTATCTGAAACCCAATTTTGCGCATAGAGAGATAAGGATCAAGTAAATGTATGACTGACAAACCAATGGGTGGAGTTTAAGTGAATTCTTTTAACATTCAAAGAGAAATCAGTTGTGTGCCCTGCACTTGTTTTCACTTAACTTACTACTTATTTCTGGAAAGATTCCCAAATGAAAGAGCAGATGTTTGGCTAGTGAAATTAATTTGGTAGCAATTAAATGTGCCAAGGTCATATCTCTTCTTAATGTTTTATAATGCATACTTACCTTATGGTTAAAATATTTTTCAAATTTTAATCTTGCTAATTCTACACACTGGGACCAACTTCTAGGTCTTCTGCTAAGTAACTTAATAACTTGAAAACAGCCTTCTAAACTGTGCCCAGTTTGAATCTTCTAGCATGAGAGAAAAAAACAAACCATCAAAATAAATACATTTCTAATTAAACACACAACACCCACCTACCCACCCACATCATTCCCGGGGAAGTATTAGCCAAAGTTTGAAGTGCCAGCTCACGTGACCTATGATTTTAATTTTTACACCATGAGCTCCTTGTGCCTGCCTTTTTCTTCTCCCTCTTTCTTTCCTTTTTTTTGGGAGGGAGAATGGGAAAAGACAGCACATGAAATTTCAACTGTAGTTTCTTATCTGACAAGCTATCCTCATGTCTTGCTGGCTGTAAGTTGTTAGTACTACAGATGTACTTAATATAAGAAGTGCTTATGAATAACATTTTACACTAAAAAGCTGGCCTGTTTAGTATTGGAATAAAGAAAAGTAAGAAAACATCTTTAAAGTTGTCCTCATTATAAGAGTATTAAGTCTCAGAGATTACTGTCCACTCATGAAATTTTCACTAGAACTCATCTCAGTTTTTTTCCGAAGAGTTTGATTAATAAGCTATTTATTATTTTATTATTATGACATCTTTCTTAGGTTGAACCATATGAATTTCTGTTCTGTGGGTCAAACATGGTCAAATATTGGCAATTCTACATAGTTTATACAAACTAAAAAAGGGGTCATTTGTGACTTGCTAATTTCAAGATTCCTCATGCACTTACTATGTACCATAATGATGCTATAATCTTTCTTTAAAGAGGTAAAATAAACTATTTATAGGCAATTTGCAAATAATATTACACTGAGACAGTGTTGAGATTATATTAAAATGTATTGATTTTTACCTGTAAGACTTCTTCTGCAGATGGATAAGTTTGCCAAAATTTGTTAAATAATGAAGGCTTATGGGAAAAGGAACTTTCAAACTATAAAGGAAAGAAAGAAAAAAAAAGTTACAAATAGAAGTCTTTTTAAAAATTGGAAATATCTTTTCTACTTCAAATAAAAATTTCTTGAAATAAAGATCTTTATTACCTTATCTCTTGCCCACTGTATAGTATGTTCAATAGCAGCTGGAAAGGATTTTAGAGTACAAAATGGTATTTCCTCTTCTGGGGGATCCCGCTAATTTATAAAACATGACAACAGATAGTTAAGAAAAGCAATGGCAATTTTTCACCGATTGAGTGTTTTAAGACATTAAAAAATAAAATGAAATAATAAAATGAACCCAACATTTTTATATCTTCTCCTAGGCAAATAAGAGGAAAAATGGATTCTTTTGACACTTAACCTATTTATTAACAGCAGTGTCACAAAAATACATGAATTTTATATAACTTATTTTCTGTTTACTTATTTGGTACCATGTGGTACTTACAGCAGGCTCCAATATATAATTAATTTTTTTCTCCAAGAATCAAGGTGACATTGAAAACTTTACATTCCCTACTTTGAAAAGTAATTCATGAATCCCCAAAACAGTGCTCAGCATACCAGGAGTTTCTTTCTCCATGGAGAAAAAAATTTAGGAGCAGGGATCATATATCCTTGATGCTTGGTATAGTTTTGTACAGAAAATATGTATTAAATAAACAACAAATAAAAAACGAATGAAATCTTGCCATTGCAACGACATGGATGGAGCTAGACAGTATTATGCTAAGTGAAATAAGTCAGAGAAAGACAAATACCATATGATTTCACTCATATGTGGAATTTAAGAAATGAAACAAAGGGGGAAAAAAAAGAGAGGCAAACCAAGAAACAGACTCTTAACTACAGAAAACAAACTGATGGTCACCAGAGGGGATGGGGTTGGGAGGATGGGCTAAATAGGTGATGGGGACGAAGCAGTGCACTTGGATGGGCACAGGGTGTTGAATGGAAGTGCTGAACACTATATTGTACTCCTGAAACTAATATTTCACTGTACGTTAACTAACTGAAATTTAAGTAAAAACTTAAAAAAACAAAATTAAAAAAATAAATACAAAATTAAAAAAATAAAAAGAACTTTCAAAAAAGAAACAGCAAATGTCTATGTTGTCTCATGTAAAAAAAATACCATTAAAAAGATCCATTTTCTATTATAGGGTACATTTGGCTTAGCCTTATTGGTTTAACCAATCTAAAATGACTCACTTTATCACTTTTTACTTAGAGATTTATATTTCAGTTTGTTCCTATGAAATACCATAAAATATTTTATAAACCAAAGAGGGAAGCTGGAAGAGAATTCTATTTTTCCTGAGTATAAAGTCAGAGAATATAGGAAAAGGCTTGGGAAAAATGTGGTAGAAAATCAAGCATTCTCTATTTTGAAAATCTTCCAATATGACCTCAGCATATCATGATTTTCTCTAATTTCCTTCAAATTAAACTTATATAAACTTCTGATTTCATGAGAATGGGAAAACAAATTTTATGTCTTTAAAAATTTTACTAAAGCAAATTAACTATTAAATAAAGTGATATTTACACTTGTAAAAACATTCCTCTTTCCATTTTACAACTTGAGTTGGTCTTTTTTAAAATCCTAAACCCTACAATTATTTCCTAGGCCAGTGTTTTTCAACTTTGGCAGTGTATCAAAATCACTTGTAGAGTTTAAAAAAAAATTACATCTATATGCCTTATATATAGATATAGAGGGCTTGGTTCCTCCCATGTATCAACAGAGTCATCAGTAAGATTTTGGGTGGTCAGTTCAAACGTTGTTAGAAAACCAATTAAGCACCACAGAGAAATAACAGTAAACACAAGAATAAGAATGCAAAAAAGGGAGAAATAAAATTTTGATGATTTAAAAAAATAAGTTCAACTCTCTTTAAAAAATGCATATGCACATATGTTGGAAATTACTGACAGATCAATTAACAGATTAGGAAAGCTAAATCAAATTTGCTGACTAATGAGAAAAAAATGAGATATAAACATTATGAGATATAAAGAAGAGAGGCATTTATTTCAAAATGTCAGTTCACTTACATGACTATTATAGGATTCAGTTAAATGAGGTACAATAACTTCAGTGTGTCCCTTAGTGCCCATTGTTCCAGAATCTAAGAGGGGTCGTAGATTTGCTAAGCAACGGCTATTTGAAAAGATAACAGGTAACGAAAAGTTAAGTGAGCAATAACAATGTAAGCAGAGGACATCTTACCACCTTCTGTTAATCATTTCACACACTGATCACTTTTTGAATGTAACATCAGGAAACAGATACACTACCACCAAATAACGCATTTATCATTTCTGTCCCCCTTCTCCCACAAATTTTGTTGCTCAACCTAGTAATTTTTGTCCGTTTCTTCTTCTACTACTACTACTAGATTTTGGGCTTCAACTTTCTTTTACTCTAGGTTAACTCTTAAACTAATGTACTGCCCTTTCTTGCCTTGCTTTCTATTTCTTCTTTGGTTATTTTCTTTCTTCTTTTTTTTTAAAGGTTTTATTTATTTGACAGAGAGAGACACAGTGAGAGAGGAAACACAAGCAGGGGGAGTGGGCGAGGGAGAAGCAGGCTTCCCGTAGAGCAGGGAGCCTGATGTGGGGCTCGATCCCAGGACCCTGGGATCATGACCAGAGCCGAAGGCAGACGCTTAACAACTGAGCCACCCAGGCGCTCCCTCTTTGTTTATTTTCTGACTATAAGTTCTGTCCTACTGTATCTTCTCAATATTCTCTTTATCTCAACCAATATTAACCTTCTTTCTTAATACTTATAATACCTATATTCTACACACTTTAATTTCTTAAAGTTTTTATTCTCCCTTCCTCTGCCCAAGATAACAAACTTTCAACTACACTCTCCACTGGCAAATTTTTCTGTTAATAAATCTGCTCTAGAACTCTAACATTAAAAAGTCATATAAAGATGTAAGAAAAATTATATAAGACATACACATTATAGTCACTCATTCATCTACTTATTTAACAACTATTTCCTGAATGACATATGTTGGGCACTGAGGATACAGTGATGGGAAAATAAATGGTCCCTGAATAAATGATCTAGTGAGGAAACAAGTATTAATTAAATACATGTATCAGTAAAAATAAGCACTATAAAGAAAAAAACAGAATGCTGTGAAAGGTTACCGTAGGAGGATCTATAGAATTTAGTGGTTAAAGAAATTCTGTTTGAATAAAGATACTTAGGATGAAAATGAAAGGTTGGAAGAAAAAAAACCCCAAAACTAAACCAGGTAGATTTGGGTCAGAATTTTTAGAACAAGATAAGCATAATTTCCTGAGTCTGAAGGAGAGTATGTACAAGTCTCTGAGGTGAAAAAGTGTTGGATACCTTACAAGAACTGAAAGAAGGAAGGTGTAGCTGGAATGAGGGGAGCCAGCAAAGATAGGTAAATTTTAAGCTAGGGTGGTAGACAGATGGCAGACACTCTATGAAAAACATTTAGGCCATGTAAAGATTTTGAATTTTATCCTAGGTATAATGGGAAATCATAAAAAGGATGTGGGCTTGAGAACCACAATAGAAACACAAAGAATGATCAGAAAATTGGGTAACTTTTCAATAAATAGGTGTGGAAAAAAGTGAAAACAAAATAAATTTTTATGAACCTGAATTTTAAGAACATACCTGTCTACATATCTCCTGGCTTCCACATTATCTAATGCTGTAATAATTATATCTTGTTTAGTATAGAACTCATCATTGTAAATAGCCTCAGTAGCTGGACATACTTTATTCAAGTGTGCATCTATCTTTAATTGAGGATTTATTTTGAGGGTTGCATCGGCAGCAGTATAGCTTTTAGGTTTCTAAACAAATAACAAATAAAAACAGAAGAAATAAATGTTAAACAGAAAAGCTAGACCATAATTGAACTTACACATTTTTTATAGGAGAGTAAAGTAATGAGACCAGCTTTCATTTTTAGTTTGTGGAAATTATATTCACTGTAGTCACATTACATTTAATAATCTATATTAGTCTGAATAATTAACACATTATTAATGGAAATCTAAACAACCTCTATTTTAGCCATGTGCTTTAGAGTTCTTAAAATATCAGTTATTAAAAGTGCATTTTTCCTAGTATTAAGGTTTGAACTTGGTAAGTGCCTAGAAAAAAATAACACATTCAGTAAAATATTAGCAATCCTAACTCTGCAAAAAATGAGCTCTCACAGGTATGGGAAGTTAACACTTTGGTACTGAAATCTTATAAATATATTACTAATTTCTTGATGGAAATATTTAAAAAATTATTATATATGTTTCAGTTTTATAAGAGTCCCCTTGACACGTTTTTACTTCTCAGTGATGTTAAGTACATAAATTGTAAACTTTGTCAGAACTTAGTAAAATAAAAATAAACAGGCCTTAAAAGTTCTTCTATAAGTAAAATGCACAGAGTGAATGAATTGTGTGACATACATTTTGGTTCCTGACAGACGCTGTTATTTGTTTTGTATTTGGATAGGTGAGGCAATTATGCCACATGCTCTAGTAGTTACTTTCCTGTTAATGACATTCCTTACTTTGGCCAAGATTATCAATGGGTTGTTGAACAATAAACTGCAAAAACATTTTTAAAGAAAAAGCAAATATGTTTCACTGACTAAAATGCTTCTTTCCTTAAATATTTTGAACTTTATAAAAAAGACTGAAAACTAGCATTATTTTACAATAAAGAGGATGTTAAATAAGTAAGATCAAAGAGCAAAAAATTCAAAGTGCTAAACTTTACCTATTTTGTAATAAAAACTCCAAAAGACAGTGCCAAATGTGTGATCTATTAAAACCTAAAATTAGGAAATCTGTCTCTGTATCCTTAGTTTCTAAGATTAAATATGTAGATACACCCTGATTATAAAATGAAAAAAATACTTCCCATGATTCACAGCTTAGATTTTATATCCAAAATCAATGCAAAGACCAATTTTTACATTAAAAAAAATTGTGTATTTGTCCCAAATGTTATTCTCAATGTTTGATAATTTGAGAGTCTAGTAATATAAAAACAAATTATGCTTGTTCAAGCACTATTTTCTATTTATAAAAAGGAAACTCTCTTTTTTGTATAACACAATAGATAACTTAAATTTGAAACAGAGTAGCAACAAACCTGTATGTGGTGAGGCCGAAATAGGAACTGTCTATTCAAGTTGGATTTTTCTATCAAGTCAGGATCTGTAACTGTAACCTAATGTCAAGAATAGAAAAAAGCTGAAATTATGTAAGAGAAAAATTTAAATCTATTTTGCTTCTCTCAGAAAGACTAAAACAATTCCCAGAAGTTACTCTAAATTATTTTAGCTGGTAGAAGTTATAAAAATAGAAGTTATAAAAATACAAATATTCTAGTGGTTACCAATACTAATATTTTTATACTATAATTAATATTTAGCATAGGAACATGTTAAACAAAACTGCTGAAACTGATGACAATTCGTGCTCAAAATTTTTTTCTAATTATTCGTAACAAAATAAGAGGCTAAAAACATCACCACATTTTAGAAACATGTGATGGATTAGCCAAAGAGGCAGTAGCGCTTCTTTCTAAACATATTTATTTTCAATTGCAACAAATTTGGAAAGAATGTCTGCATGTTTCAATTTGAAAGGAACTCTTGCTAAAGCAGAGGTCTACAAACTACAGTGTAGGTAACCTGCCTGTTTTTGTAAATAAATTTTGTTGGAACACAGTCATGCCATTTGTTTTAAGCACTGTCTATGGTTGTTTTCATGCTGTAATGGCAGAGCTGACTTGTTGTGACAGAGATCCTTGGTTCACAAGCCTAGAATAGCTGCAATCTGGTCCTTTAAGAAAAAGTCTGCAGACATTCTAAGGGATGCAAGATGAAAATAAACAGATCCAAGATAATCTGAAAAGTATTCATAATGCATTTGTCACTTACATTAGTATTTGTACAAGATCTGACTAGGAGCAGTATTTCTCCAGTGTGTTTGAGTTGTTAGATAGTGACTGATGGTTCACAAACACATTCACTTTCTTTTAGCTGGTATTACCTGATTGTATCTGTTTTTGGGGGGTTTGTTTTCAACATTTCTATATAATTATGTGTTAGAGTGTGTCTCTTTTAAATAGGAAAAAAAAAGCACCAAACAGAAAATGTCTCTTAACAAAAATTTAATCAATATATAATTATTGTGATTACTGATATAAGGCTTTTTTTTTCTACCTCCCCCACCCCACTTTTTATTCACTCCCTTTTTTTGGGGGGGCGGTCTTAAGTTTTCTTGATTCCAATCCCCCTCAATCCTTACTGAATTGGTCTGGAAGTTAAACATCTATTTTTATGTGGTTATACTCAAAATTTTCACATGCACATGTGACTTAAGCTCTAATGACAATATCCATCTTCCTCTTGAATAATTAGAGGATATCTGAACTCTCCCTTCTCCTTTCATATCAATGAACATTATACTTATTTTTAATCATCCCATCCCCAAAGTCAATATTTTAATTAAAGCTTAAAAAAAAACCCAATAATTATATAAATCTATGAATGCTGACAAATGCCTCTACTTGCCCTTGCTTCATGCACTGCTCATGTTATTTATTAAGTTCTTTCAATGAGAACCAATAAATGATCATCTTTCATCATTTCACCTGTTAGTTATCTTTATTTCTCTTGAAAGATAATGTAGTTGGATACAGAAATCTAGATTGACAATAATTTTCCAAAGCACTATGAAGATATGCTTCTCTGTCTTCAGGTGTGCATTTATTGCTGATGAGAAATCTATTAGGTAATCTCTCTTTTTATCTTTGCCTTTGATTTGCTGACTAGTTTACCTTTTCAATTTCAACACACTGGTCTCTAACTCTGGAAACTTTTGTCATTATCTTGGAATATATTGTTTTTCATTATCTTTACTCTCTCTGAAAATTCTACTATACTTATGTTGGACCATGCAAATGCATCCTCTTTCTTTAAAGAAAGATATCTTTCTGCGTTTTTAACTTCTATTCATCAATTCTCACTTCAGTTATATGTGAATTTTAAGTTCACTGACTATACAAAAAGTCTTATTTGGTTTCCTGTAAAAATTTTAGTGCCTTCCCCCTCTCATGTTTCTATCCGCCCCCCCCGCCTTTTTTTTTTTTTTTTACCTTTGGTCATTTTAAACTCTATTTTAAAGTTTGTTTGCTTCATTATTTGTAGCACTCCTGTTATCTATAGTTCTTAGCTAATTTTTCTATTTTCATTGGCTGATTTTTCTTCTAGGTGGTACTTTTTTTCTAGTGGACTGTCATTTTTTATTGTGAATTGTCTTGAACAGATGTTAATTTCTCTGCATAATTCTATGTACTCTTGGTGTTTAAGATTCACCATGATGCAATTTCATATTTGTTTTTGTCAGAGCTTTGGAAATTTCAATGGTCTTATTTGTTATATTCATCTCTCTGCTTGAAGTTTTTTGTAAGATATAATTCTGGATTCCACACACCAGTGTGGTACATGCTCTTAGTTAAAAGTTTCTCATGAGTTACTTCCTTTTCTATTTAATGTTTTGGACATATACTCAAGAAATACTTGTGAATAACTACAGCTTTTAGCTCAGGAATTAATTTCTTTCTTGGTTCCTGGAACCTGGGGATCTCCCTTTCCTTTTTCCCAGTTAGTTTGGCTACATTTGTAAACACTATAAAAAAGAATAATTTACATGGCAAATCTCTGTATTTGCAGGATAGAGATCTGTGCACATTAACTTACTGTGTTTTGTCACCTGAAATCAGGATTATTTACCAAAGTACCTTTATATGCTGATATGCATTATGAATTTCCAAGGAGTTAAGATATTCAGGTGATTCCCAAACTTAGGTAACCAAGATTTCTTTTTTTTTTTTTAAATTAGAAATACCTTTTAAAATCACCAGAACTAATAGTGGCTTGTGAAACACAACTTAAGAAATGCTAAGCAGGAAAAATATATATGTAAGAATATCTGTCTATAACTGTAATAGTAATGAATACCCTTTTTAAGTAGAACATTAAGACAAAGTTAGTATAACTATAAAATGTGAACTAGTATATAAATTTTAGTCATTTCATTACTTATCGTTAGTCACCATGATAAATCTATGAAATCACTACTCCGGGAAGCTAGTTTATAGCAAAACAAAGGCAAAACAAATTAGCAAAATATATTTCTATTTAAATATATGACATGGCTTCCCAATTAACTCACATTTATCTTCTTAAGAATTTAAATTGAACACCAAAGTTTATATTACTCCCTTTTATTTTGATAATCACTAATTGAAACTTAATCTGAGAACTCCGCCACTTTCTAATGTTAGCTTCTCCCATCTTAAAAGATTTATTTAATAATTAATAAGGAATCTTAATAGAAATAACAATTCTAATGTGCTTTATAGTTTGCAAACCCTTTTCCCATTTGATCTTCATAATTACATTATGACTTAGGAAGCAGAGATACCAGTTTCATAGTATTAGAGAAAGAAACTGAGGAACAGAGAATTCAAAGTAATTTGCCACAAGGTCACATAACTTCTGGAAAAGTGGTCAGAACAGAATCAGAATTTTCCAATTTCTAGCATAATTCTCTCTCCTCAAAAATTAGTATTTCAGATCTATGCAGTCAAATATAGTACAAAAATGAGCAGCAACAGAAATACAAACTTTTAACTCTCAAGGATTTTTATCTTACCATTCCTTTTTCTTTGCTTGTACCAACACCAAGTAAAGCAAAATTTTTTAACATTTCACAGCCTATGGCTCCACATCCTACCTATAGAGGAGAAAAATGAAATAGATTAAATACAATTAAGACTACTTACTACAGGGAAATGTTATATTAACTTTCTTCAAATGCCAATTTTAAATATATGTGTAATTTTTAAAATAATTTGAACATTTGTGATTCATTTTACTTTAGAATACATAACTAATTTATTATGCTATTTTAACTGTTCCAGTCAAAGAAGAAAAATGTATAAATCAAGTAAGGAAAAGCATAATATTTACAATTCCTTTAAACAGAAGACATTTTAATATTCCAACAAAAGCAAACAACTGAGCTAATTATTTGTATGAGATAGAAACAAATATCACAAAACATCAGTGCAACATTTTGATGAAAAAGATTCCTTGTTTATAATTTTCAAAATTCATTTGATGAAGCTACCTATTCTAAGACTTTCTATAGCTCAGCAACAGCTGCTGATATTCAAGACATTATTTAAAAAACTATTACTACAAAATCAGCAGTTATTTTCACAACTGATTATAATAATAAAAAAAAACCATCAATGGCAGGAAAAGGAGTTTTATGGTAATGGGGAGAGATTTGCCAATGCACTAACTAAGATTTAAGAAAGACAGATTCTACCTATATCTTCCTTCATATGGTAAGAAAAAATTTAAACAATGAAAAAGGAAAAAAAAGCTCATCCCAAATCTAATTTTTAATGTATTTCTAGAAAATCATTTAATTTTCAAAACTTATCATACTCATATTTTAATTCCGAATGTATTAATTCTTATACTAGGGGTTGGCAAACATTTTTTGTAAAGGGTCAGTAAATATTTTTTTTGTAGGCCATATGGTCTCTGTCACAACTACTCACCTCTCCTATTATAGCATGAAAGAAGCCACACACAATACATAAATGAATGGGTTTGGCCATGTTCCGATAAAACTTATTTACAAAAACAGGCAGCAGAATGGATTTGGCCTGTCTTAAACTTCTAGTGAATGTCTACTCTGTTAGGAACTGTACTCACTTAGACTCAAATTTGCTTTAATAAATGAATTTGAGGATACACAATAGCAGTTTGACTACTATTTATTCTCATCATTATTTATACTTACTAAAAAGATATTCAACTTTTGTAGCTTCTGACACAAAGTGTCTCCAATGCAAGCTCGTAAGGCATCATATCTATCTCCTCTGAGGAAAAAATATACCAAAAACCAGAAAGGCATAAAAACATTATTAAGATTAGTTTCACTATTGTTAATACCAATTTAATGCTGTACTTTAAATAGAATACTCTGAGTTTCCTCCAATCTAAAAGAAAATTATCTTATTTGAAAGACAAAAACCCCATTAAGAAATCAGTTTTTCCTTTCTCCATTTGATTTAATATCCTATATCCAAATGACTTAAGTAAAGGTGACCTCAGTTTATCTAGAAAAAACAATTTTCTAAAGTAGGAATTTTTTTTTTTTAAAGAGAGAGCATGCACACATGAATGGAGGGGGATGGACAGAGAGAGAGAGAGAGAATCTTAAGCAGGCTCCACACCCAGTGTGGAGCCCAAGGCCGGGCTGGATCTCATGATCCTGATATCAAGTGAGGAAGGGATTTTTTTTTTTAAGATTTATTTATTTATTTGAAAGGGGGGAGAGAGAGAGAGAGAGAATGAACGGGAGGGGGGAAGGGAGAGAGAATCTCAAGCAGACTCCACACTGAATGTGGACCTGACGTGGGGCTTGATCTCACAACCCTAAGATCATGACCTGAGCTGAAACCAAGAGTCGGACACTTAACTGACCACACAACCCAGGTGTCCCAGGTAGGGATTTTTAATAAAGGTTCCTAGAGAAGTCTATGGGCTTTGGAGTTGTTAATACACCTAAATTAAAGGCAGAACTTTGGGTTATGTGAATTTTGGAGAGAATGAATCCATAAGCTTTTATCACATTCTCAGAGATTTGTGATTCAAAAAGATGAAGAATGACTGATACAAATAAAAGTTGCAGATAGCAATTGTTTTCATCTAAATTCAGAATAGTATTTTGAATGCTTTTTTCATGGCATACACTTTAAAATTTTACATTCATTATTTATAAAGTGGTAAAGATATTGCATTATTCTGACACTTAAAATAACCTCTAAGTAGGGGCGCCTGGGTGGCTCAGTTGGTTAAGCGACTGCCTTCGGCTCGGGTCATGATCCCAGAGTCCCGGGATCGAGTCCCACGTCAGGCTCCCTGCTCAGCAGGGAGTCTGCTTCTCCCTCTGACCCTCCACCCTCTCATGCTCTCTGTCTCTCATTCTCTCTCTCGCAAATAAATAAAATCTTAAAAAAAAAAAAAAATAACCTCTAAGTAGAGAAAAAAATGACTGTAGAAGTCAACAAGTTATGAGAAAATACATCTAAAACAAATGCATATTCAAGAAAAAATTCTTTTAACCTAGTTGCCTCTTACAAACACTCAACTAAGAAAAAAGCAAGAAAAATTTCAGAATTACCGTGGGAGAAACTGTTCACGTTCAGGTTTGTCTAGAGATTCAACAATATCTGCTGCTTCAATGTATAACTTTAAAGTAGAAGATAAAAACACAATTTACTATGTATAAACATTAAATTGCTAAAAAAAAAAGTAGTTTTTCTCTACTGTAGTTATTTAATAATCATTAAGGAAAACAATGATAAAAATGCCAATCCTGAGTAAAATACATAAAAAAAAATCATTTCTTTTTATATAATATACATACCTATATTACTTCATTAAAACAAATGATTAAATCTGAAGGAACTGTTAAAAAGATATAATTTGATTCATGTCACTTACCTATCTTAAAAATGGTATATTCTAATTTTAACAAACAAAAGGAAATTTTACCTCCAAATCTATTTATAATTACATAAAAACTCTGGGAACCCCATTCAATTTCAGCTACATTTGAATAAGTAATCTGACTACTTTTAGATCAGAAAGTACCTACTGTTTTATTTTCCAGCTTGGGTATATTATGTCATTTATAATTACATATACCACAGAGGAAATGATTTAGGAAGTCACAATTTTAGCATTTAAAAAAATATCAAGTTAAAGTTTATTAAAAAAAGAATTCACTCTCATTTTCATTTAAGTTACTTATGTGGCTAAATTTGAATATAACTAAATGGTTGTTTATTTAATGATAACACAGAATCTATATTAATAACACTTAACTTATATTCCCCATACTGTTAACAGCTGTATCTAAACCAGACATTTACAACTGAACTTGTACTCTGTGTTAAAATAAATCAAGTAATTCAGCAGCAAAATAGCATTATGTGGATATTTTTTAAAACATAAAAAAAGATAAATGTTATATTCAAAACGTTAAAGTGTTTTCAAAAAGGAAAGGGCCCGAAGAGTATCATTTGATAACCTCTGCCAATTATTCCTTTTGGTAACAGAAAGGATTTTTTTTATTCCTTCTTGAGATGTTTTTACCCTATATATATAGTTCTCAAACTTACACCACTCCCATGTTTTTACCGTTAGTGTAAACCTAGGAAGGGATTCTGAAGATTCTTGATGCCCAAAGATTCAATGGAACTGTTTAAAAGTCCTGAGAGCCCATGAATGCTAAGCTAATAGTACTAGAAACTAAGTATAAGGGTAGAAAATTCATTCCTTCACTCTCACAAATGAGGGAAATACATCCTAGAATGCAACTTTGGGTTATATTCCAATAGCCTCAACCAATGATCTTGTCAGTTTCAATTAGAGAATTAAATTTTGGTGGCATATCACATCTAACTCATGCATCAAAAAATATTTTAAGGTTGCTTTTATAATATATTAATATGATAATTCATAACAAACACTCATTGTATGGGTGGGAAATTCAACATTAAGTATAAAAAAATATTAAAATACAGAACTAACCCACTGGCACAACGGAGAAAACTTCCCTGTCACGGCTTTCAATACTTCTTGGCTGGCAACACCTCCTACTGTGGCAGCAAGTGGGGGTAAAAAACCTTGAGCAGTCCAAGAGAGCCAATGCACAATGTCAGCATTTACTTCTGGCTGAAACACAAGCCACGAAAGACAATAATCAATAGTTTTTACAAAGACACTCAAAATTTCAATGGCTTAGTGTGAGAATTATTAAATTACTGTAGCTTAACTTCTAAAAAAGCTACTCAATTACCCTATTAAATAGATTTTAAGTCCAAAAAAAGTTCCAATCTCATAATAAAAGATCCAAATGCATGTTAGTTACCATAAGCAGTATTTCTCTATACCAGTAACTGCCCATTTTTGCTTTCTGAATCTTTATATTACACTAGGGCAAGATTTAAGATTAACTGGAATATCTACCATTTACAGTTTTTGTTAAAGACCAGATAGTTTTGTGATGTCAGTCAATATTTATAAACAACCAGAATTTTTTAAAAAGTGTTTTAATGAAAACTATGGGAAAACCTTGATTCTAAATAAATGAAAATAAAGATAAATTGATCCATAAAAAATGATAAGGAGTTATCAGTTTGTGCTTGAAGTGGTAAATAAAAAGTAAAAGGGTCAAAAATAATGAGGCAATACACTGTTAGAAAAAAAATTGAGTAATGGCAATTTTTCATACTAATTTAAGAACCAATCACCATGAAGTTCTCATTATCATACTTAAAAACTGAAATGGTGTTTCTTGAAAAAGACTTTTTTACTAGTATTTTTTTTTTTTTTAAAGATTTTATTTATTTATTTGACAGAGAGAGACACAGCGAGAGAGGGAACACAAGCAGGGGGAGTGGGAGAGGGAGAAGCAGGCTCCCCGCAGAGCAGGGAACCCGATGCGGGACTCGATCCCAGGACCCTGGGATCATGACCTGAGCTGAAGGCAGTCGCTTAACCAACTGAGCCACCCAGGCGCCCTACTAGTATTTTTAAGGAAATATTGGAGAATTGGATTCTGGAGCTATTAGCACAATTCTTATTTGTCAGAAAGATCTCTTCATGAGCTCTGGCTTCTCTTTCTCTTCCTGTTCTTTCAACACCAGTAACCTTAATCTTAATAAAATCTTTTTTTTTAATGGTTTTTTATTTATTTGACAGAGAAAGACACAGTGAGAGAGGGAACACAAGCAGGGGGAGAGGGAGAAGCAGGCTCCCCGCAGAGCAGGGAGCCCGATGTGGGGCTTGATCCCAGGACCCTGGGATCATGACCTTAGCCGAAGGCAGATGCTTAACGACTGAGCCACCCAGGTGCCCCGCCCGTAACCTTAATCTTAACGATAAGATTCAAGTGATTTGAAATCCTATGTAAAATAACACTACATGTGCATTTTGTGATACAAAAAGAGGTTACTATCTACTTACTATTCCACCCACTCCATTTCACTGTTCTAGATTTCATTTTTCAACTACTTAGCACTAAACTCAACTCAGATTATGATTTCATTTAAGCTGTGCCATTTCTGAAGGCAGAGATACTGGTGGTAGTGATAATATTAAAAACAATGATGAGAATGTGAATAGAAGCAGGTAATTTGAGTACCTACTGTGAGTTTATATTAAATCCACATGTAATTTGCAAAATAATCCTAGGAAATATAATTTTTTTCATACAAATGAGAAAGGTGAAACTTTGAAAAAGGAATTTACTTAAGATTTTATAGCTAATGAAATGGAATCTGAACCCCAAAAGTCCAACAGACCATTAGGTTACACTATCTCCCAAGATTCTATTATTTTTTAATTAACAAACAGCCAAATCTGGGCAATATTTGGTTGCCTTAGGATAATGACAATAGCCTAAACCTGAATTTCCCCACACAATCTCTAAAAATAGGTATATATCCACATTATCCACAAGAAGAGAAATAAACCAGTGGCAGAGTTTCAGTATTACTAAGAAACAGAACATTATGAACCTCAAATTACCTGTAAATAGAAAAATAAGTTCTAACCTCCAACAAAACCACTTCTGGACATCATACTGTTGCAAGGCTGCACAAAGAGCAGGAAGTGTGTAACCACAGAAAACAGAATGAAAGGCCTACTGGCAAATCATTCTAAGAAAACAGAAAGCCCCATACTAAGTGCAAAAAATACTGAAAATGTATGAAATCTAGCAGATCTCAGCACTGGCTATGGTGAAAGAATTTATCTGGGAGAGAATGATATAAATAGAAAGAGGGAGACATCCTTTGACACAGAAGGCTAAAACAAGAAATAAGAGAGGAAGTTAAGGATTTGGCAGAACTCAAAGAGTTCCACAAGACACCAACAGCTATCCTCCAAAAAAAAAAACAAACAAACAAATAAAACCCAAAACTCCCAAACCCCAAAAAACCATCCATTAAAGAAACCCCAGTATCCTAAGAGAATAGGGGTTTTAGAAGTAGTAATCTGAAGCATGCAAAATCCTTACTCTGAACCAAAAATATGCAGAAAAACCAATTTACTATACCAAAGTTATGAAAGAAGGAAGCAGAAAATTAGAATCAAAACATTTCAGCTCCTGAAAATTTCTCCTCCAAACTAATCACAAGGCAGAGGAAATTTGATTGAGTGAATTATATATCCTTAACGAACATTTGGGAGATGTGGGAAAACAAACACAAAAAAACCCTCACCATGAGTCGGAAATTTAATAACTAAGTACCAAAATAATCCATTCCACCAGCAAACACTCCCCCCGACCCACCGCCAAAAGGGGAAGAAATAAATAAAATCTGAATCTATGTATCAAAATGGGCTCATAGTATACCTAGGAAAATGGACTGAATGATCAATTCTGAGATATAACCAGGTAAAATTATTACACTTTACAGATGAAAAAATATACAAAGTCACAAGGCAAAAAGACCAGACTACTTATAAGAATAAGAAAATTAAGCTGGCATCATATTTTTCAACAAATTTCTCAAATACAAAGCAAGATACCACTGAAGAAAGTAAGGCCTATAATTTTATATTCAGCCAAGTTGTCTTTCAAGCATGGAGGCTACCGAAAATATTTAAAACATGTAAGAACTCAGAAAAAAAACATAATTTTGAGCTCTAAGAAACAGAGACCAAACTTGATTTCAAGACTTACCATACAGCTATAGTAATCAAGACAGGATGGTACTAGCAAAAGGACAGAAACAACCAATAGAAGATATAACACTGAGTTCAGAAGTAGCCCTACACATATGTGTTCAATAAATTACTGACAATGAATACCCAGAATATTGAATAAGGAAAGAATTATCCTTTCAACAAATAGGCTAGAATTATTGGATGTTCATATACAAAAAAAAATCAACTTTAATCTATGCCTGGCAAGGTATAAAAAAATAAACTCATAAAAAAAAATAAACTCACAAAACTGTACCCAATGAATTCAAAATGTAAGTTATGTACACTTGACCTATACTTGGCATGTATACAAAAATGAACTCACAAAACTATAAAAATTCTCAAAGAAAACACAGGACAAAAGTTGTGACCTTGGACTTAAAAAGAGGTACAACCACATACAAAAAAATTGAAACTCTGAAGTTTATCAAAATAAAAAACTTCTCTTTAAAAGACACTGTAATAAAATGAGAAGACAACCCACGGACTGGACGAGAATATTTGTAAAACAGGTATCCCATAAAGAACTCTCTCAACCAATGAGAACACAACCTACCTAATTAAAAAACAGACAAAGATTTGAAAGAACAGTTTATCAAAGAAGAGACAGGAATGACAAATAAGCACATGAAAAGGTACAAAATTCATAGTCATCAATAAAATGCAAATTTAAACCAAAACAAGATACCAATACACACACTTTAAAATGGCTCAAATCAAAAAATAGATAATACACCATTATGGAAAGAATACAGAGCAATTCAAACTCTCATACATTTCTGGTGGAAATGCAAAAATGGTACAGCTACTCCGCAAAAACAATTTGGCAGTTTCTTATAAAATTAAACAGATACCTATCATTTGACTCTGTAATACACTACTAGGTGTTTACCCATGAGAAATGAAAACATATGTCCACATCAAAATCCGTATGGAGGTGTGTAGGAGCTTTATTCATAATTGCTCATATTGGAAACCCAAATGTCCACCAACTGCTATAGGGGAAAACAAATTGTGGTATACCTATACAATGGAATACTACTCAACAATAAATACAAATGAAAATGCAACATGGATGAAATTCAAATTCATTACATTTAGTAAAAGAATCCAGACTCAAAAGGCTACATATTGCATGATTCCATTTACATGACATTCTAAGGAAAAGGCAAAACTATACTGGTTGCTTGGATTGGTTGGGGGAGAGGGAGATGACTATATAGACGCATGAGGGAATTTTTTGGCATTATGAAAATGTTTTATCTCTTGATGATGGTGGTGGATACATGACTGTACACTTTGACTTAATTGTGTACAGTTTAATTGTATACAGAATTTTGTGTACTGTATTATCTAAAAAGGGTGAAATTTTCTTTAAGTTTCATCTCAATAAACCTGATGAATCCTTAATCATATCCTTCCTTTTAATCACAATCTTCATCAGTCTATTTGTAGCTTTTCACACTTTTCTGTAACCACTAAATATGCATAAAAGGCCTTTAACTTGTGGTTAATGACTCACTATTTTCAGTACATTATTTCCTTCTTTGTTTAATCACGTAAAATATGAGATCATTTTCTACTTAACCACTAATGTTAAGACTTTTCATTTCCTCCTCCTTTTTATAGTATAATAACGAAAACAATAAAATTTTCAACTAATTGCACAAACGCTGCTATTTTGGTATCTGCTAAAATGAAACTATTGGGCCAGCAGGCACTGGCACTGTAACATGAAAAAGCCATTTTCTGGGTGAGATGTCCAAACATGATATGCAAAATGCAATTAAGAGATATGAATAAATAATGGATAAAAGATGATTTATAGGAAAGCTTAACTTTATACAGTGAGTTTCAGTGGGTTAACAAAGTAAATCAGAAGAGATAATATTAATACTAAAAATATAGCAGCAACAGCAAATAGTAATTACTATATGCCACATACTCTTCTAAGTACTTCACAAAATTAAATCACTTAGTGTTCATAATAACCTCTGAGGTAGGTTAACCCTATTTTATAGATTTAAAAATTAAAGCAGAACAAATTCAAGTAACATGCCTACTGTCACAGAGTCAATAAGCAGCAAAGCTGGGATCTGAAAGTTAAGAGAATATTAATATACAGAATGTGTTACACCTTTTTTGATGGCCATAACTTTGAATATTCACCTTCTCTTTCAAGGTTTCACTTATAGACGTTGCTAGTTTCAAGAGCTCTTCTGAATCTTGTTGGCACCTAGGATTCAAAATGAAGCACCCCAATTTCAATTTTCTCAAGTGCTATAAACAGCAAGTCATATTCAAAACTAAAATTTAAGAAATATGTAAGAAAAAAAGTGGAATTTTGCCAGCAGGTAGCATGAAGTGCTTCCCTGACTTGAAGGTAACTGATTCATAAATACATTAATTAAAAATCATGTTTACCTAAGGATGGTATATAAATAGGATTTAGTTTTAAACTGACAAGGCAAAAACTTTTTGCGACAATACCTCTGACTTAATAATTGGCTAGAAAGGAAAAAATTACATAGTGGACTCATAATTCAATAATTCTCAGATTTTTTTGTTTTAGGAAGTTGTAGCTTTTGAAGACTTCAAAATGGGAAAATTCTTATTTAGCTTAATTCCATTTTTATAAATTGTTATTTCCACTTCCACCAGAACAAAGAACAGAAGGTTATAATAAATGTTTACATAGTTCCGTGTATCTAGTAGTGTTGCAACTATAAGGGGCTTTAGTTACTTTTTAAATTTTTTAAACTATCATTTCTAAAATACTGCTTTTATAGTAAGGAAAAAAGTTATTTCAAACAAAAAACGTTACCCAATATTTGGCTTGCGACTACAGTTCTCCTGAAACTGGTCCAAGGCAAGCATTGCTGTGTGAATCTGTAAAGGTGCCTATTTAGAACATTAAAAATTGGTCAACAGTTATTGAGAGTATAATACGTGCTAGACAGGCACTGTGCTAACACTTCATAAATACTATTTCTTACAATAAATTAATAACCTTAATACTACTATTATCTCTAATTAACAGATAAGGAAGCTGAAGCTTAGAGAAGTTAAACAGCTTGACATCAAGACCATGAAGCTATATTTAAGCAACAGATCCAAGTGTCAATCCCAGGTAGAATAACCAGTTTTTAGTACATTATCCATATGAAAGAGTAATTATCAACTAAACAACAACAACAAAAAACCATCTGTACAAGATCAGTATCACCTAATCCTTTTTCCTGATCAACATTTACAATTTGGAAACTGTTAATATGTCTTTCCTTATCACAAATACATTCACTGCTACAAAATTATATTCAGGGATTTAAAAGAACAGAATAAATGCTTCCAAGGTTTTTAGGAAGAAACATGTATCATATAAAACTCTACATCGTTCAGAAATCTTTTAGTAAGATCATCTGCATAAATTATTGAAATCATTTTTTTAATTGCCAAAGCTAGCATATCATTATTAAAGTAAAACATTTTCTATTATTTTTAATATTTTTCCATGGTATAAATTCCTGTTTTTAATTCTTGGGAGTTAACCCTAGATATGTGAATCCAACCTTTATTAAAAAAACCTGACAGAAAGGTATATACATGGTTACCCTACTTTAACTTTATAATGTCTCTTACCAATTCCCAACCCCCACTCTGCTGCCTCTTTCAAACCTACAAAGCGTTTATTTACCTCAGGTTTACTAAAATCTGCAATAAGGCATTTTGGATGTTTTATCTGAGTCTCCAATGGTTCCTTAAAAGAAACAAAAACTATTACTTCAGAGCAAGTAAGTGATTACTTAACAAAATATATAGAGCACTAAAAGGAATGCATCTCTCCCAAAGGTCTGAAATAAATATGGATGGTTGGGCTAATATGGTTTAATTGAAATATAAAAGAGCTACTACTCCCCACTGTCCCTTGTTTTAATTGCTACACATCATTTTTTAAATGTTAAATGCAATGAGACAACCTGCTGTACATACTATATTTGGGAAGAATTGGTGAAAACACCTGTATACTTGAAAAAATCTGTTTAATCAAAAAGCTACCATATTTTTTTGATATCAAATTATCAAGATTAACTGTTAGCCTGACAAGACCTGAATAAATACTCAAAAGCTGAAATTATCTGTGTGGAGCAAAGAACACACGAAGGCCAAAAAACCCAGCCAACCAACCAACCATCCCCCCAAAACACCCACCCAATCTGAAATTTGCTTGGGGCATAAACCTGGGGCATAATTAAAAACTGGGGACAGTGGCAAGAGGAAATAATGCAGGGGCAGATTTGATGAACTGTATTTTAATCTGTTGTTTTGTTTAAACTTTGGTTTGGACTAAGCCTTGTAGAGGACCATGGTTAATAATTGTTCTGGAAAAGAAGAGGCAATCAAGTTAAACCTTGAGAACTTGCAAGAAAAGATAGAGATGTAGTAGACAGCTTATAATGAGAAGTGGCCTGTGGATTTAAGCTGCAAGAGACTTCTTAGTTCCTTGGTACACAGGCTCCCTGCTGAGCAAGGAGCCCAGTGTGGGACTCCATCCCAGGACCCTGGGATCATGACCTGAGCAGAAGGTAGACACTTAACCGACTGAGCCACTGAGGTGTCCCTACTATATTCTCTTTATTTAGATATTTACATTTTCCTTTCAATGCCAGGTTATAGGACTTACTTTACATTTCCAACATATACACTCTTTCTTGAAATTAAAATTTAAAAACCTGAACTGACAAGTATGACAAATAAAATATTCCTGTTACTTTAAAAACGTAAATAAGTGAGTTTAATTGAAATATAAATCTTGATATCCAGTTTATTTCCTTAAATTGATCTCATTTCCCTCAAAGTGGGTACAAATTAAAAACCAAAAATCTGTTCAGCTCCTAAATTAACCATCCGGTTAACATTTTATTACTTTTTTCTCTTCTGCCATTTTTCTTCTGCAAAGAAATATATTTAAAGCAAAAAAAAAAAAAATACTTACAAAGCAAAATGTTTTAGGAGTCTTAACTTGGACAGCTATGCCTCCATGTAAATAAGGTTCCAGTTCTGTAGTATCACCAATGCTAAAAGAAAATGGTGATACCACTAAAAGAAAAATAAGAAAACCATTATATACTGATATAGGTATTCAAATTTGAAGATTTATCATGATAAAGATGTTAATTTTTCCTAATTTATAAAATTAGAGGATCCCATTATAAATCTTTTTTGTAGGAGGCAGAAAGTGTGGAAAACGAGACAGGCTATTTTTCCAGTGTGAACTTAAGGACTTAAAAATAACCAAGAAAACTCAGAGGGGGAAAATAGTAATGAAGGGTGCTTATCACTAGATATTAAAATATTTTATAAAACATCAATCACTAATATATATATATTTTTAAAGATTTTATTTATTTGACAGAGAGAGACAGCGAGAGAGGGAACACAAGCAGGGGGAAGTGGGAGAGGAAGAAGCAGGCTTCCCACTGAGCAGGGAGCCCGATGCGGGGCTCGATCCCAGGACCCTGGGACCATGACCTGAACCGAAGGCAGACGCTTAACAACAGCCACCCAGGTGCCCCATCACTAATATTGATAACTAATTATATATAAGTAATACTAACATATAGTGTGGTACTTGCTAATGAGTAGATAGGCAGACAAATGGAACATTTTATACGTAAGCCTCAAGATTCTGAACCATCACAATCCCCCATTGTATAGACCCCAAAATAACAATAACCCTAAATGATTAGTTGAGTCAATTTTTGCAAAAGCAGATAAAAATTCTTTAATATCAATGATCTAATCTGTATTTTACATATCTGGATATAGTCTGGGAAACAAAATCCAGTAATTTTGTTACCAAAGATGCTTAACTAATTGTAGATCCAAAATTGTTTTAGTATAAAGAGTTCATAATAGGGACTAATTTTTTCTCTCCTAAGGATCCATTTTGCAGTCATTACAAGAAAAAAGTAATCCATTTACCAGTCTATACAGTAATTACATAATTAAGACTTCCAAATGTCCTAAAGATAAACCTGAATTGTTTTTAGCTAACAGGTATAAACATGCCATCTTTGAGTTACAAGATGTCTGGCAATGTCTTTAACTCTTTTAAACATGGCTGGAAGAAAATCACAAACTATGCAAAAATTCACTAAAAATTCACTATCTTCAACTTCAAACTGGCACTAAATGAAACTTGATAATCTTTCTATTTTTTAAAATATTTACTCTCCTCAAATCTCTGACCTTGGCACCTTTCCTTTCCTTGGGACAATGATCTCATCTTAGTCAAAAAAAACCCGAATTTCTTCAACTTTTTGCCAACAAACCCACAAACTTGCCTGCAATAACATCCATTCATTCTTTTTACCCATCCAAGCCACTGAACAAAAACATGTCTCCACTTGTATAGTTCATTGCCACCTTACTTGACGAGCCTAAGCTGTCTGCATTATCTTCTCTCCAAAACCTCCATTTCTTGCCCTCCCTAAATCAATAAATAAGTTCCCCATGTTGGAATCTTTGCTTACTTACTATATGAGATTATGAAATTTCCTCTTAAATACCTTAAGATTTTGCTATCTCAACTCCCACTGCCAGCACTGCCATATTATATTTTTTTAGTCCCCTGAACTGTTCTGTCTTTTATTATATGTCTTTGCATAGAATATTCTTTTCACCACCTTCCTAAGTCAATGCAATCTTAATTTTTTAATCAAGATACTCTGTCCCCACTGCTGCTGTACCAAGACTGGGTAGATTTCTTTGCTACATTTAGAGTTCCCAGAATGCCTGTACTCTCTTTATACCATCACTGCTTAATGCAAACATCTCCTCACTTGGATTGAATGTTTTGAGGCCAAGAACTAGACCATGTTTGTCTGAGTTAATGCTGTGTTCTCAACACTGAGTAGACTGTCTGAGTTATTTAAGTGCTGAATAACAAGTAAGTAGAAATGAATTAATAAAACACATGAACTTACCAGTTATTTGTTGTGTAGATCCATTTAAGCCTGTCATTCCATTAACTTCTCGAAATGTTAAAAACTGCCCAGTCTCAAGCTTGTGAGGATGATTTTCAAGGCAGGTGACAATGCCAGGATTAGCCTAAAGACAAGTTCATGTATACCTTTTTTGTACAAATTTCAAATCTCACACAAAAGAGACCATGCTATCATAAAATTCTCAAAACAATCAAAATACAAAGACACTTAGTAAAGATACTTAATAAAAGCAAGCCTTTTAAGAATTATCACAAAGTAATGATCATCTTATTTTATTATGAATGTTTAAAATATAATTTTTATATTTTGGGGAGATAGAGATTCTACATGGGAGTTCAAATATTTCACAGATAAAAAGATTTTTGTGACTTCTAAAAGACATTCAAAGTCATCAAATTTAAATTTTAAAGTCATGTTACAAAAAACTCTGTGCAAAAAAAGATGAGTCTAACTTTGAAGATCAAAGAAATACAAGAAAGAAGGATAGAAATTTAAAGCCAGGAAACTGGTAGTTTAAAGCCTCCCCAACACTTAAAGGAAAAAAATATCATGTACCCCAGCTTACCAGGATAAAAATAGGAAGAAATTGGCTTATCTTACCAAACAGGATGGATGAAATAGGTCAAAGGCCCAGAAATTTCCTAGCTACATGTAATCCAACACACTTCTTGAGTAAGGTAATAATAATTTAATCTACATAAAACCTAAAGAATTGTCATTCTGTCTTTCATAATTGAGAGGATTCCAAAAAGTCTCCTGTGGCTTAGTAATTTGGAAAATAACAAAATTATGATCACAAACATGTAGATAAAACTAACCTAATGTGGGTTTACTAACATCTCAAGAAGAATAAAATTCGTAAGGATTTTATTAAAAAAGAGGAATAATTTGCAGATAAGTTAAATGGGAACATTTATGGTATTTTATAATTCTTTATGGATAACCTTCATACTTTGTGCACTATTCAATAAAAGAAAATACCAATGCAATACAAGAATCCATACTATACCCTGGAGCCTATTCTAACTGTATGATATTCTCAGGGACAAAACTAAAAACAAGTACAAAGGTTAGAGGCTGAATAAAAAAATCATTCTGTAAGTAGAGAGACAGAATGATTTTTTTAGCATTTTCTTAGAAAGGGGTGTAAAGGCAACATTACACTGGGTTAAAAATCAAGCATAAAGATAGAAGCAAATACACTATTAGGTCAAAGTATATTATTTCCTGACATTTGGCTTCTTTGGAGCTTTAATGTAAATTGATTAGAAAGAATGCAAATAAATGTAATGATTTAGACTAAAAAACCAGTAGCAGAAATTGACCATGATGATTTCTCCAATTCTTTTAGGGAATAAAAAACTTAAGCTTATATGAAGAGAATGTGGTTAGAAAGTTCATACTTTTTGATCTTAAGGGTAATTAATTCTTACACGTTTTTCCTCCTCCAAATGATGTTTTAGAAATATAACAAATTTTAGAAAAGCTTTTGTCTATAATGACTTAAGCATGCATCCTCCTGCAGTCAAGTGTTGGGCCAGGTGACTCATGACATACTTAGTACATCTACGATCTGACACAATAAACACAGTTCAGCAAACATTGAATCACACTTCATGTCCACAGGAGCACAACACTGAACAAAATTAAAATTAAAATTTATGACATAAGTAAATGTTGATCTATCTATTATTGTTAGAAGGAATCCAGATACTCTTGTAATATCCTAACTTAAATTTAGTTTTAATATAATACAATCAAGAAATTAACACAATATTCCCTCATGAATTACCTTAAAATATCATAAAACAAATGAAAAATATTGCATATTAAATATTTTGCTAATATCACCTTTTAAAAAATTGTATTCACATCAACCTTAAAAAAAATCAATCATATAAATATACAATAATATATGTATATATATACAATCATACTTGTGTTATATTTGAAATGAAAATTTCTTTTGGCTCTTCTCCTGTTGTATCTGAAACTTCAAATTCATCACCGAAATCACAAAACAACCGTGACCAAATTCCATGTATATCTGCACTGATGAACTGTGAAATGATAAAAAACAAGTTCAAGCTTATCTATTTACATAAAGAGAAAACCTCCATCCATTTCTACTATTTTAAGCCCCTTCAATGACAACTTTATTTATAATTAAGATTATCCAAAAACCCCCACAAAAAAACAAAACAAAAACAAACAAAAGATTATCCTTTGGGATATAAAGTGAATCACAAATAAAATACATTATTTGTCTGTAAATTGGACCAGGAATCAAGATACTGGCATTTGGGACTGGATATCTAAGTGTTATTACACAATTAGAAGATGCAGCACATCATCATAATACATTCTCTCATTTTTAAATAACAAGAATTCTTTCCTTGCCCTAAAAATCAAGCAAAGTATTTAAGAAATGGTTATTTTGGTTTAATGGTTTTAGCAGTAAATTTTTACTTTTCATTTGAGAAAATAAAAAGAGGGTCCATTCACCAAAAGTAGAGTTAATGGAAAATAGAACAGAGCTAAAAGCTGAAAATGGAGGCAATAAACAGAAAAGGACTGAGGAACTGACAGTATACATCAAAGTCAAGAGAGGTAAAAATCAGATTCTTAAACACAATCGTTAATCATCGCTTTATTAAAAGTGATTTTTATATACAGACACTCCATTCTGAAAATCTGTAAAGAAACTGTTTTTGTGTTCAAAGTTATTTTTAGAGTTAAAAATAATAAAGAAAAATTCTTATTCTGTAACACGTATGATCCTGTATAAAGTGATTTTTTTTTTTTTTTAGATTTTTATTTATTTATTTGAGAGAGAGAGAGAATGAGAGACAGAGAGCATGAGAGGTTGGGGGGTCAGAGGGAGAAGCAGACTCCCCGCTCAGCAGGGAGCCCGACGCGGGACTCGATCCCAGGTCTCCAGGATCATGACCTGAGCCAAAGGCAGTCGCCTAACCAACTGAGCCACCCAGGCGCCCCGTGATTTTTTTTTTTTTTAACAAAAACTAAAGTCTATTCATATTTGGACATAAAAATGTAGCCCATTAAAGTAATTTATACCACTTTTACATAAAGTAGTGAAAGAGCTAATAGAAGACTACCTCCTACTGGATCATGTATTGCCTTTACTATCAAAATAGGTATACAAAGCATTTTTTATGAAACAAAACTGAGCAGAAATTTAGAAACTTTTTAACTTTAAAAGCTGCAAACTTGAGGCCAATTTCTTTTCAAAACAACTTTCAAGTAGGACTATGTATATCAATTACATAAACAAAGATTTTAGTTCATAACTCAGTGTAATTATTTTGTAAAACTTCTGTGCCCTAAGTTTACTCACTATCCTATGTTTTATTCATCTGTTTAATTTGAATTGTGAACCACAGCACAAATGTTGCACAGAACGTAAATATGTTATGTAAACAGCACAATCCAAAAATTTTTAGCACATCTATTTAATAGAGTATGATTGTTGGCTTAGTGCCTACCTCAAAGGAACAAATAGTTTTTTCCTTTTTCCAAAGGAACATATACAACCCCACAAAGGAGGTAGAGCTAGTAATATGTATGTAACTGCACAGGATAAATTACGATTTTTCCAATCTAAACCTATTTCCAGTCTTTCCAACGTCACCATGACTCAATTACTCCAGAAAAATCTAGATGTCATTCTTGATCATTCTTTCCTTCACAACTCATATTCATCCATTCTCATACTTCAAATTCAATGATTTCTTAAAATCTCTATTTCTACCTCTCTTAAATAAGGCACCAGCATCTCTCACTAGGCTACTAGTTGCCTCTACTCTACTCTTATAATTCAACGGCTCTCTTTTCTCTTTGATTTTGTGATTCCTTCATGTTCTTAAGAATTATTGAGGACTGAAAGAGCTTTTATTTATTTGGGTTATAACTACTGATATTTGCTGTGTTAGAGATTAAAACTGAGAAACATTTAAAACACAAGAATACACACACATTCCATTAGCAGTCAAAGCAATAGTATCACTACACATCATCTAGACTTTGGAAATTCCACTGTACCCCGTAGGAGAATCAGAGTGAAAAAGCAAATAATATTTTAGTAATATTATGAAAATAGTTTGACTTTGCAGACCCCATGAAAAGATCTCAAGAATTTTTAGTATCCTTGGACCATACTTTGAAAACTACTGCTCTAGACTATTTTCCATACAGCATATCCAAAGTGATCTTTTAAAAACATAAATCAGGCCAAAATCATGGGCTTAAAACTCAGCTATCCTCAAAGTTATATAAGCTATATAAGTACCTCTAAAGTACTTCTCTGAACCTAATCCTCTGGTAACTTGTATTCACACTACTCTCCTCTTTACCCAAACTCCATTTTGGTCTTGCTTGCTTCTTGCTGTTCCTTAAACACACCAAGCAAATTTTAACACTTACAAGTCTTTATACTTGCTGTTCTTCATGCTTTGAATGCTCTTTCCCACATTTTCCATAGCTGGCTCTTTATCATTATTCAGGGTTCTATTCAAATGTCATTTCCTCAGAGAGGAGTTCCCTGACCTTCAATTTAAGAGAAGCAGCACTGGTCCCCATCCCAACATCATGCAGACATTATACTTTACTCTTTACCTAGCTTTTTTATTATGTATCTTCCTTACTGAATGATAATCTTCTAGAGTAGGAAAATTTGTATGTCCTATTCACGTATTCTTAGTGCCTACAACTGTATCTGTAGCAGATGCTCAATGAATATTTCTTACAAGAACCAATAAACCTCCTGAAAACCACCATTACGCCATATTTAAAGTTAGATGATGAATTCAATATTTACTATCCTTTCCATTTCTAACCTTAATTCTTCCTTAGTTTTGGCAATTTGCTATAAGGCAAATTTAGATCTTGGTTTTAAAAACAGGAAATGAATATGATGCCAAAATTAAAGAGGAAAATATAACTGATTGTCCTCATTTTTGTAAAAAAAAAAAAAAATTCTTATATAACCCACTGAAAAGCTACAAATTCTAACAGTGAAAGTGTTGTTTCTTTAACTACATGTCATTATTAAATGATACTATTACCTTAATTGGAGGGCAATGAGAATGGCAAAAGTTATTGATCTTCTTCTGCAACGGAAGTTTGATCTCAGTCAATACTACACACTGTTAAGAAGAATATAAGAAATTAAATACTAGAAAATAAACAATTAGTTTGGAAAAATACACTTCTAAATCAGAGGCATTTTAGTTTGCATTATGCTAAAAACACATTACTTTTCTTATTAAAAAATACTATTCAATTGTACTCCATCCTAGGTTAAAACCTGCAGAATTATGGGAGAGCAAAAATAAAAATAACATATTTCATATTACATTAGTTGGCTTAGCTTGCTTTTACTTCATATATTCAACAGATTCACAATACAACAACTTTTGCTTTATGACAGTATCATTAGTGAAACCACCAAGTTGTTATTTTAAAATAGCAAATTATAATGGTCAATGCTTACCTTTTTATCATCACCCTGTGAGATAATGAGAGCTTTTATAATCAGATCTTATCTTAAATAACTTATAAAGGTCAAAAACTTTCCTAAGATTATTCATCTATCAAGTGGCAAAAGCAGAACTAGACTCTCAATCCAGACTTTTTCTTGCTGCTAGTTCCCATGAATTGGATAACTCACTTTCACTACAAATATCCAGGTGTGGATTTATTCTTATTTATCTAGCTCAGAATACGGTGTGCTTCCTGTAGGGAGATATTTCTCCTCCATGGGTCTCTTACTTTTTGTACATGTCTCAACTGGGTCTGCCATGAATCCAAGGCTCTTGACCATTCTTGGGCCATTTCTCAGGATTATATTTGCTTTGTGCAAGCTTTGTGCTTTGTGTGAGGTATTGATTTCCTCTGGAACAAAGAGCAAGCCTGTTTGTTGCTTGCTATGAAACAGCAGGTTTCCCAAGCTCAGTGTTCCTCTTCTCAAAAGGAACCCATTATATGTGCAGACATCCACTGAGTCCTCTGCACTAGACTAGTGGGTTTGGGGGGAAGGCAAGAGGAAATGAGGCAAATATAATATTCATACTTCTTTTTTTTTTTCCTAAGTAGGCTCCACGTCCAGTGTAGAGCCTAACGTGGGGCCTGAATTCACGACCCTGAGATCAAGAACTGAGCTGAAATCAAATCAGACACTTAACTGACTGAACCATTCAGGTGCCTCATAATACTCATACTTCTTACCACGCATGCTCTGAGTAATAAAGTCCTGAGTCTCTGACCCAGGAATCTCATGTTTTCTGCCAGCAACCAATAATAGTAACAGGCTAACTTACTAAATTTGTAAACAGAATAAAATCAAATCTTAGACTCATCATTCACTGAATCTAATTTGTGTTTCATCAATGCTGGAAAATTCTCAGCCAAAATTTTTTCAAATATTGCTTTTTTCTAATACTCTCCTTCTGGAAATCTAATCTCATGAACTGAACCTTTTCATTCAAGCTCTCATTTCTTTTTTTTTTTTTTTTAAAGATTTTTATTTGAGAGAGAGAGAGTGTACATGCGCATGAGCGGGGGGGAGGGGCAGAGGGAGAGAGAGAGAGAAGCAGACCCCCTGTTGAGCAGAGCCTGATGTGGGGGTTCAGGTCCTGGGATCATGACCTGAGCCGAAGGCAGACACTTAACTGACTGAGCCACCCAAGTGCCCCAAGCTCTCATTTCTTTTAACTTCTCTTTCATACTTATTCTAATTTCTATGGGCTATAGTCTCAGTAATCTCCTCAGCTCTTTCAATTCTCTAATTCTTACTCCATTTGCATCTATCCACTGTTTAATCTACCCAGTGAGTTTTAATTTTTAAGACTATATTTTCATTTCTAAATGTTCTACTGGTTCTTTATCACATCTGCCTGAGTGTTTTTAATAAGGACTTATTTCCATATTATATACTTAATTCCTTCTTTTAAGATTCAGTCAATTTGAACACCTATATTTTTAAGACCCTATCCAATTATTCTATTATCTGAAATTCCTGGAGGTTAATTCTATTCTTTTTATATCCACTGACTCTTGATCACACTGCACTATTTTTTCCTGTCTTGTTATTTTGTATCCTGAACTCATCTTCAAAGGGGCTTTATATACTGGAATATACTATGGCTTTGTTGAAGGTAGATTCCTCTGTATTTGTTTAGTTTGTTTCTTTCTGGCATTCCAGGATATCACCAAATCATTATGCTAGATACCTGAAACTAATATAACATTGTACGTTAATTATACTTCAATAAAAAAATTAAAAAATAAAAGGAAGTCTATTAAACAGTTTGATTTAGGAAGTCTATTACCCATCTTTGTAGAAGATGGATTTCAAGTTATCTAGTCCAGAATGGAAGTCTACACTGGTTTTTAAATTGGTATGATATTAACATTATAATAATAAATATATCTTTTGGTCATCATCCAAGGTTCCTATATAAGAGCTATCAAGGCATCTTTTGTTATAGTATTTAGTTTTGTCCCAAATCCTGAATTAGCTCCAGAGTGATAAAGGTGAAATAACATCTTTTCATAATAAGCCCCTTTCAGCTATACCGGAGTGTAGATTAATGAAATGACTTTTGGAAGCCCCCTAAAGATGGGGGCTGATTATTAGGGGAACCAACCTTGTGATTTGAAGGTCAGAACTTTTAGCCCTATGTCTCAGACCTCCAGGGAGGAGACAGGGGCTGGAGATTTACTTAATCACTAAAGATCAATCATTTAATCAGTTGTGCTTCCATAATGAAGTCTTCATAAAAAAATCCCTGAACTAGGGGCTCAGAGAGCTTCCAGATTCATGGAGGTGCTGGGAAGGTGGCATACTTGGAGAGGGCATGGAAGCTGTGTGCCCCTTTCCTCATACATTGCTCTATGCATCTCTTCCATCTGACTGTTCCTGACTTACAGCTTTTTTAATAAACCAATCTGGTAAGTAAACTGTTTTCCTGCATTCTGTGAGCCACTCTGGCAAATTAATTGGACCCTAGGAAGGGAATGTGGGAACCTGTGATTTATATAGCCAGTCCTCAGAAGCACAGAGTAACAACCTGGACTTGTGATTCATGTCAGAAACGGGGCAAAGAAGGGGTTCTTGTGGGAATGAATCCTTAATGTGTGGGATGCGAAGTTATCTTCTCCAGATAGATAGTGTCAAAATGGAATTGAACTGCAGGACACTGAACTAGGTGTCCAGGGAGTTGCAGAACTGCTTGGCTGGGGGAAAAACCCATACACATATGGTCACACAGTGTCAAAAGTACAGAGTAAAAGTGAAACACAGGAGTGTTTCTCCCTAAATGGGCAACATCATAATTTAATCACAGAGAAAATCAGGGTCAACCTAATCACTTTTAAAACATCTAGGTGTTGAGAAGTAGACTGAATGTTGATCTGCATTTTTTATTCCTCTGCAATCGGATTATACATCATCCTTTGCCCATCGCCTTAGAAGAGCAGAGTGTACTTTCCTGCTCAACTTTGGGCTTGACCATGTGACTTGCTTTGGCCCATGAAATATTAATGGGAGTAACATGAACGGAAGCTTGAAATGTGTTTAGATAGTTGGACTTGCCCTTTTGCATTTCTTTTATTGCCGTGACACCATGTTCTTGGTGGCCTCCTCGTTCTAGAAGAGAGGCATATGGAACAAAACACAGACTCTGCAATTTGAGTTCAGCCTAGAACAGCTGAACTCCAACTGACATGCAGATGCAGGAGAAAGAAATACATGTTGCTAGAAACCACTGAGTTTTGGGTAGTTTTTTATGAACATTACCGTGAAAGTAGCTGGGTTTCCACATGTATATGGTCATTAGTCAAATGTAATGGTTTTGTCAGTAATTCTGAGGCCCTTTCCCTAAAATGGAGCATTTGAAAGGTATTACTCCAAAGGAAGTCTTTTAACCTAAAATTTTCTGTTCTGCTCAAGAGACTAGGTTTAATTAATTATATACTACAATAATACTTAACAATCTGCCTTGTAATCTGTCAATAACATCTAATATAAAATAGAGTACCAACCTGGTATTTATCTAAGAAGGAGAGATCTGTGGTTTCATTTAAAGGAACAGAAGATGATGTGACATGAACATATGGATTTAGTTCTGCAATATGTTGAAGTACAGCTTCAGCCCTAAAAAAAAAAAGACTTTTACAATTCTTTCGTTCAATAACCCAATCCCTCATACTTGGGACACTTTGACGATATCAGAGAAACCTGAATGTTAGAAAATTTCAATGAAAATTTAACAAACTATACAGGAAGAAAGAAGGTAAGGCTTATCTTTACAGAAAACTACATAATCTTGAGATGTAGTATACTGTCATATATCCATAGTAAGCCATATAATCTCAAAGTGTACCCCTATGGTTCCAAGCTCATTACGTCTTTTAATAATTCAGGATTAATAATGATGTTTAACAATCTTAAATTCATTTCTAGGTAGCAATATGAATATCTTAAAAATTTCACAAATATAAAGAATTAAAAAGTATATGTTAACACTTATTTTCTATGGTGATGTGAATTTATGGTGATGAGTCCACAGTTCTGTTCTGGGCACAGAAAATATTCTAAGTAATTGCAAGAGTAAAAAAAAATCCTACAAAAATACATCAAAATATCCTATCTTCACCTGTTTCTCATATTAACAACATCATCTTCACAGAGAAAGAAGTTGGTTCCTAGATCCCATGTTTGGCATTTTTCTGTATCATGAATGGTAAGTGCCTTCGAAAAAGAGAAAAATCTCTGTTAAAGTCAGGAATAAGACAACTATCTCCAATACCATTTATATTGTATCAGAATTATCCTGTGTAATTAGACAATATGAAGTAATTAAAAGCTTAAGAATTGGGAATGGATTCATTCACAGAAGGTATGACCATATACATCTGGAAACCCAGGAAAATTAATGAAAAAACTACTTTAACCCTTAAGAGAATTTTAATTTAGGGAAGTAGCACGTTATATTAATCAAAATACAAAAAAATCAAAAGAACTCACAAACATTTCCAAATGCTCTACGTTCAAAGTAAGATAACAAGATGACTAACCAGAAAGAACATTTTTAACTTATATTAGAGGTCTTACAGAAAATGGGGCAAGGTATAGGAACGGGGAGTATACTGAAAAAGAAATGCATATGGTCCTTTAAAGTATTTAAGCAGGTTTAACCCTGTTCAAGAATGGAATACCTTAGCTCATTCATCAGAATGTCATAAATCCAAAAGTTTGATAATATACTCTATTGGTGAATGAGGTGAATCAGGCATTCTATTATTGGTGGGAATGTAGAGTGGAATAACCTCAATGGAAAATAATTTGGCAATCTCTAGCAAAATGTGTTTTATTCTTTGACACAGCAATCCCACTTTTAAGAATCTATCACAAAGACACACTGGGAAAGATACAAAAAGACATTAAGTACAGGAGTATTAACTGTAGCACTATTTTTAATAGAAAAGACCCAAAGATAATAAAAATGTCCACCAATAAGGAACGGGGTAATTATATATGATACATCCATACAATGTATATCCATGCAGCTATAAAAAAAGAGTGAAATATATATATTTATCATTAGGGAGTAATCCCAGGATATGTTGTTAAGTGATAAGGAGCAAGGTGGAGGCAAGTATGGCACTTCATCTAAGAAAGGCATGTGGGATAAATATGTATACATATACATACACAGATTGCATATGTGTATGTATGCATTTGCTTATATTTAAAAACATGAAAAAAGGTGGGCAATCTAATAAGGGAAGGAGGGAATTGAGTAGAGAGAAGGTAGACTTATCTGAATAAACCTTGCTTTATAATTTCTACTTTTGTCTTTTTTTTTTGAGAGAGTGAGAGCATGTGGCTGGGGGCGGGGGGTTGGGGGCGTAGAGGGAGAAGCAGAGAGAGAATCTTAAGCAGGCTCCATGCCCAGCACAGAGCCCAGGGTGGGACTTGATCTCACAACCCTGAGATCATGACCTGAGACGAAATCACAAGTTGGACATTTAACCGACTGAACCACCCAGGCGCCCCTATAATTTCTACTTTGAATCATGTAAGTCTTATAACAGTAAAAGTACGTTAAATTTAAAAAAGTGATCCCTAAAAATCCACTACTACTACTTTCTAAACAGTAGTTAATTTGCCTGCCAAATCTAGATGGGATTTTTCCTAAGGATAAAAAAGAGAATCATAAAGTGATTTCAATAATTATATTGTTATTAAAAATACTGAAATTGTTATGCTGAAGTTATGTCATAAATAGGTATAATATAATATAGGATAAAGCAAATACATAATTAGGTCCATGTCATTAAGACTCAAACCCTTAGAGTAAGACAAGAGATACAAATACAAAATAACAAAATTAAAGAGGTAGATACGCTATCATCCTAAACGTGAAACTCAGAAATTTCAGTGTTCACTTATGATGAATTTTCTAGCTCTGTCCACTGAAAAGACTTTACCATCAGTGACAAAGACTACTAGGGTTGTATCAAAAGGACTCCAGAACTTGATGAAGATCCCAATAAGCAAAGATGAAATGATTTAAGCATCAACAAGAATAATAACTATTATACTGGATCAAAACAAATCATATATATTCAAATCCACATTTATCATGATGTTCATGTACACACACAGGCCACACAAGTTCACTAGTTACTGTTGGGGGATGATAGGAACTACTGATTTTGAAACCTGGTAAATAAAGGGTGAAAAAAAAATCAAGTATTTATCCTGCCTTTTATGCATGTACAAACTACACTTTAGTGAAACCAAATATGTGATGAATGGAAAATTGTCTAAAATATTATTCCAGCTAAGAAATCAAAAAGAAATGACAGAATTAGAATATCATTATCCTTAATGAAATAATGAATCTAGGCAATGATCATTAATAGCTAGTAATAATCATAAAAACAAGGCCAGCAGATTATGATTTCCTCCTGATGAGAAAACATAAAATTATCTGTGAAGCAGCAGTGCCAAAATAATCAAATCTGAATTTGAATCTCTGGATAGAACTACCAGTTTACAGGAAATACAAGGGCAGAGGTATATGTGATAAATGACCTGGTTTCATTTACAAGTACATTCTAAGGGGAAAAAAAATCAGGGAAGGGAAATCTGTACATCGAAAGAAATCAAGTTCAGTATATGACTTGACTTGGATCCCGATTAGAACCAAACAAATAAAATTTTCATAAGACAATTGGGAAAATTTGAACTCTAACTAGATATCTGATGATTGAGGTAGGCAAGCTATAATTTAGCCCCAATGACTCCCAATTCCTGTTTCTCAGGCCTTCGTGTAATTCCCTTTCCTTACATTCATAAACTAGTGAATTGCTTTTACCAAACAAGCATAGATAATGGAATGTCACTTCTGAAATTAGGTTACAAAAGACTGATTTGTTTTGCTAATACATTTCCTTTCTTGTCTTCTTGCTAGCTTACTCTGATGAAGCAGACTGCCATATGGTGAGCTGTCCTATGGAAAGGGTCACATTTCAAGGAACTGAGGGTAACCTCCAACCAAGAGCCAGCAAGGAAATGAAGTAGGAATATGAAGTGGAACAGCCTTGCCAGTGAATTCTGTCAATCACTATGTGAGCAAGCTTGGGAAGCAGATTCTTTCCCTAGCCTGGAGATGACTGCAGCCCTGCCAATATCGTGATTGGAGCCTCATGAGAGATCCTCAAACAGAGGAACCAGCTAAGATGGCCCTGATAAATTTTAAGTTTTTAAGTTTTGGGGTAATTTGTTTTCAGCAATAGCTAACTAAGACAATGCTATTAAGGAATTGGTTACATTTTTAGGTGTGAAAATGGTACTGTGGTTATGCTTTCAAAAGGCACCATTATCATTTAGAGATATATACTAATATATTTAAGGATGATATAATAGGATGTATATGGGTTTTTTTTAATTAGTTTCAGAGGTAGAATTTAGTGATTCATCAGTTGCAAATATACAGTGCTCATTACAGCAAGTGCCCTCCTTAATGCCCATCACATAATTATCCCCCCTTTTCCCCCCTCCAGCAACCTCAGTTTGTTTCACAGAGTTCAGGGTCTCTTATGGTTTGTTTCCTCCTCAATTTTCATCTTATTTTATTTTTCCTTCCCTTCCCCTATGTGGATGTCTGAGTTTTGTATCAAAATAATTTGGTGGTTGGGCAACAGTGGAGAATGGGAAAGAGATAACATGGAACAAATTTGTCTATGAGCAGATAATTGCAGCTGCATGATGGATACATGGGATTTTGTTATATTGTCATATAATTTTGAAATTTTCTGTAATAGTTTTTTTAAAAGGAGGAAAATACAGCATTAAAACAATTTTGCTACTAAATGAAGAAGCAGCAATAATTAGGCCAAAGTGTAAACAATATTACCACTAATGATGAGGAAAAAAAAAAAAAGTTCACAACAAACACTTATTTTAACCAAGGACATTTACTCACTTACCTTAATTCCTGCAAGAACAAGATTCTTTGCTATGAAGGAAAAAGAGAAAGGAATAGCTTAATATTAAGAACATATATTAGACAGTTTTGATGGAGCTTGGTCACATCTCTGACTGGATAATTTTAACTTTTTTACTACCTAAGAAATATAAGTTCCTTAGAAAATGCAGACAAACAAAAAGGAAAAAGTTAAATTTTCTATCATACCACACTGAGGTATAATACACTAAAATTTTAGTGTATTATTTCAGACAGGCTGTTATAAATATATGTGTGTGTGCTCTATCATAATGAATTAAAGATACAGAAATAAAAAAAAACAAAGAGAAATGATCCTTAATGGCTATTATCATAACAAAGAGAAGCAAAAGAGTCATTACTGGTTCCTTGTGGAAGAATATTTTTTTTTTTTTAAGATTTTATTTATTTATTTGAGAGAGAGAGAATGAGAGAGAGCACATGAGAGGGGGGAGGGCCAGAGGGAGAAGCAGACTCCCTGCCGAGCAGGGAGCCCGATGCGGGACTCAATCCAGGGACTCCAGGATCATGACCTGAGCCGAAGGCAGTCGCTTAACGAACTGAGCCACCCAGGCGCCCCTAGTTCCTTGTGGAAGAATATTAACAGTATATAGTGTTATAGTGAAATAGTGTTGTCAAGGGGTGCCTGGGTGTCTCAGTTGGTTAAGTGTCTGCTTTGACTCAGGTCATGATCCCAAGGTCCTGGGACTGAGCCCCAGGTCAGGCTCCTTGCTCAGTGGGGAACCTGCTCCTCCCTCTGCTCCTCCTCCTTGCTCCTGCTTGCTCTCCCTCTCAAATAAATAATTAATCATAAAAAAAAAAAAGAAAGAAAGAAAAGAAATAGTGTTACCAAAAGAATCAAAACTGAATCTTCTCAAGGGTTTGGATCTAACTTCCTTTATAGAAAATAATATATACAAGGGAAAGAAATTAAATTCTTTAACTTACATTGCTCAAAGTGTCATATAAAATTATGAATAAAAATACTACTTACCAATTTCCAAACCAAGACCGCCCATTCCACTTAAGAAAACATGGGACTTGGCCATCTTCTGCATTGCTGTGTCTCCAAGAACGTACCTCTGTCGACTATAGGTAAAACACAATAAAAAACAAATTATTTCACCCAAATTACATATCCTTTAAGGTTGTTTGCAAATGAATAGCCTAGCAACTAGAACCTGCCACAGACCTGTTTTGGATCACTTGCAGTGTTTAATGCTTCTAAATTAACTGCCAAATATATGACATATTCTGAAAAAACTGAAGATCTGGCACCACCTTCTCGCATAGCAACAAACAGACGGAGTTGAGTAGGAGTTGTCCTGTTTAGATAGGGAGGATTATGTCTCTAGACTTGCCACAGTTCCCATCCTGCTCCTTTCATTTACTACCTCAGGGGCCACTACAGGCATCTGAGTTTGTTATCTCCACTTTAAGCCTTTACTGTAAACAGGATTTCTGAGACAAAAAAATTGGTTCCCTTCTTGGAGTTTAGATGACTTATAGCAGTTTTCTATTATTTTATTTATTTCTTTTCATAAGTAATATCTACGCCCAACATAGGGCTCACACTCCCGACCTCAAGATCAAGAGTCACATGCTTTATCAATTCAGCCAGCCAGGTGCCCCCAAACATTACTTTAAATATAAATGCTGATAAAGTATATAAGGTAAGCCATCCATATTAATAGCCACAAGGTAGCATCAGAACGGAAATTTCAAAAAATACGTATTGGCTATTTAAAAAAGTCAGATACAATAATAAAGGCAACAGAAAGTTAATTTGAAAGAACAGTGATAAACTTGATGCTATACCAAGTTTTTGAAGATAATGGACATTCCAATGGATTCTTACAAGAATCACTGAAAGATGAGTTAAGTACAGATAACTAAACCCCTTGGTTTACAAGACTTTTTTTTTTTTAAAGATTTTTTATTTATTTGCGAGAGAGAGAATGAGAGACAGAGAGCATGAGAGGGAGGAGGGTCAGAGGGAGAAGCAGACTCCCTGCTGAGCAGGAAGCCTGATGTGGGACTCGATCCTGGGACTCCAGGATCATGACCTGAGCCGAAGGCAGTCACTTAACCAACTGAGCCACCCAGGCGCCCGGTTTACAAGACTTTTTTTGGAATTCACAACATACATGCTGGTTTAATGTATGTTTGTTTAGTATATATATATATATATAGATGTTTACTTGATTTCTGTATTTCAGCTATTTATATTCAATTTAAAAGCCTGAAAAGGGTTTTCTTGTCTAGTCAGAAGAAACTTTATAAACATAAGCTATTATTTCCTTCCTTACTCATTTACTTATTTATTTATTTATTTGATACAGAGAGAGAGAGAGAGAGAACAAGCAGGGGGAGTGGGAGAGGGAGAAGCAGGCTCCCTGCTGAGCAGGGAGCCCGATGCGGGGCTCGATCCCAGGACCTTGGGATCACGACCTGAACCCAAGGCAGATGCTTAACCGACTGAGCCACCCAGGCACCCCTCTTTCCTTCTTCCTGCAAAATATAATAAAACCTAGACTTTTCTTTTTAAATCAGTATTTACCATTTCTTTTTCAGAGATCCAAACCATCCATTTATTCATCAAAAATTTGCTGAACATCTACTATGGTATGTATAGAATTGTGTATTATATAGTCTTGCCATCCTTATTTGTGTAACCCTAAGCAATATATTTAAGTTTTGTCTGTTTTGGAACTTTATATAAATGGAATCATTTTGAATATTGTCTTCTGTGTCATGCCTCTTTTGAATAATATTGTATTTATGAGATTTATTTATTATCAATGCATGTGGTTATTCATTAATTTTCAGTTCTGTTTTATTCTATTGTACACTACTATTCTATTGTAATAACATACCATAATTTAACTATTCTATAGTTTTGTAGCATGGTTTTTTTTTAAAGTTTATTTATTTATTTAGTAATCTGTATACTCAATGTGGGGCTCAAACTCAAAACCCTGAGATCAAGAGTCGCATGCTCGTCTGACTGAGCCAGTGAGGCACCCCTGCTATTCTATAGCTTTGGACAGTTACTTATAGTGAGACTATGAGCATTCTTAGATATGTCTCATGATACACATGTGTATGTAGCAGTTTCTACAGATCTATTTATAGCATAATATATCTAGGAGAAGAAATGCAGGGATAACTTTATTAGATAATGCCAAACTTTTTTTCTGAAGTGTACCAAATAACTCTCCTCCTGCAGTATATCAAAGTCCCTGTAGTTTCACATCTTTAATGTGTAGGAAAAGTTAACAGCAGGGCTGGTCATTGGCCTGCTTACAAGGCTAGCCTTGGCTGGTGTCTTCTATTTTCTTTTTTCCTAATTTCCTGAAATAAAAACTTTAATTAGTTTTCAGGTTTTCTTTTCTAAAATACACATGTAAAACTTGAACTGATCTTAAACAGCATCCTAAGTTTTGATACACAGTACTTCATTATTATTTTCCAGTTTTAATTATGATTCTTTTTTGACTTCTGGGTTAATCTGAAGTGTATTTTTAAGCTTCTAATTTCATGCGGAATATTCTAGCTATCTTTTGGGTTAGTTACTTCTAGCCTAAATGCATTGTGAATAGATCTATATGATTTCATTTTTTAATATTTGAGAATTTGCAAATGTTGCAAATATTCCATGGGCTCTTAAAACAGAATGTACTCAACAGTTGGTTAGACACATTCTTTATATATATAATTATATTAATTTTAATAACCATGTTGATGAATTCTATACCCACTCTGATTTTTTTGTCTGCTTGTTCTCTTGATTACTAAAAGCAATATTTAAACCCCTTCACTAATGCAATGGTAAATTTGTCTGTTCTTGTATATCAGTACCTTAACAGTGCTGACATGTAATAACTGCTAACACTGAGTGTTTATTATGCACCACATATTGTTTTAGTGTTTTACTTGTATTAACTCATTTAATCCTCACAAAATTCTACAAGTTCTATTATTATTATTCCATTTTTACGGAAAGGAAAACTTAAACACAGAGAAATTAAATAATTTATAAATAGTGGAGGTAAGACTCAATTCAGGCAGTCTGGCCTTAGCATCCATACTTTTTTAAAATTAAATGCATTTTTTTTTTTTTTTAGATTTTATTTATTTATTTGAGAGAGAGAGAGAGAGAGAGAGCACAAGCAGGGGGAGTGGGAGTGAGGAGCAGGCTCCCAGCTGAGCAGGGAGCCCGATGTGGGGCTTGATCCCTGGACGCTGGGTTCGTGACCTGAGCTGAAGGCAGCCACTAAACCAAGTGAGCCACCCACGTGCCCCAGCACCCATATTCTTACCCACTATGCTACAATGCATGTAGATTAAGAAAGTCAAATCATTCTAATAAAGTTTATTGGAGGAATAAAAAAAAAAAAGAAAAATCAGTTCCCTGATCTAACTCTTCCCTACCCAGATTCCTATACACCAAAGGCAACCACTCTTAATTCTTCCAGTTGTTTCTTCTAATATTTACCCCCTTTTTTCCAGTAATATGTTTATACTTTTATTTCTTGAATTTTCAGTTTTATATATAACGAATTAACTTCCTACTAACATGAAAAGTCTTTCTGAAATACAAATCTGGTCAAATCATTCCCCTGCTTTAAAAACTCCAATGGTTTCCTATTTCCCTTATGATACAGTCTAGATTCTAATATTAGTCACAAGGCCGTTCATAAGCTAGTCTCTGCTTGCCTCTCTAGTCTCATCTTTTGTCACTCCTCCATCAAACTCCATGTTCCAAGTGGACTAAAGGTTTTCAGTTCCTCAAACATGGTGTGTTGTCTCTGGCCATTAGATATTTTTCTGGAGTATTCCTCCCCTCAATATTTTCTGCCTGAAAAACTTGTACTCATCCTCCAGTCTCAGCTTATACATTACTTTCCCCATTGATATGTCTCCCAACACCTAAACTTACTCAAGACAGTGCTGGATCATCTTTTATGTACATCAATAACATCCTACATTTGAGCTATTACAACATTTATCACACTGTGTTTTTGCTATTTGTCTATTTTTCCTAGGAGGTTGTAGATTCCTTAAGGCAGGGCCTTTGCTTTATTTACTATTGTATTCTCAGTGATTAACATGGGCCTGGCACGTTATAGACACAAAAAAACAACCTGCTAAATTAATGAAATGAATTGGCACATAAGAATAAAAACAACACGTTTATGTTCTACCTAGCAGAGGACTTAAGTCCTTCTTCCTATGTTCAGAGTCACAGGAACTATGTTAAAAAAATGTATTTCATCTCAGACTTGTTTTCATGAATTATTTTGAAGATTACTTAGGTAAATAATGAATAGCCATGACACAAATTTGGTTAAAAATGACAAAGAACTTAAGGACAAAAGGATAAAACAAAGATATATGAATCAAAGTTTTCCAAAGAATCATAAAATCTCAGACAGATTCTCAGCAGTTACCTAAATTATCTACCTTTTCAATGTTTGGCCACCAAGGGAAAGGGTACTAATTAAGTACCTACTCTGTGCTAGGCAATGTCCGGTACTCTGAGAGTGACACTTAAATCCTATGAAGTTCATATTGTTAGTAAGTAGTAAAGATGGGATTTAAAGAGCCTAGAGTATAACCTCAAGCCCAGCATTGTTATATTACAGCTTACTCTATAAAGCAGATACTCAAAATATCAGTGAAGTATCCAGTGGAAAGAAATTACCAAGGTTATCTACTCTACTTTTAGAGAGCCCTATTCATTAAAGATTCTCTGTTTCTTGAAGGTATGATATCTTCCTACACTTTTCATCCACTAGTCCTAATTTTACCTCCTTGGGGCCATAGGGAACTCATCTAATCCCTCTTCGATGTGACAGCCCTCCAAACATTTGAAGATGGTATTCAGGTTCCAGAGCCTTCTCTCTCCAGGTCTAACAAAGCTTAAAAGCAAGCTTTGAAAAAATAAAACTGTTTTCAAGTAATTTAACTGTGTCTCTCAACAAAGCTCAAGAATATTTAAAGGAATTCAAAATGATGCAGCACCCAAAAAGGTAAACTTCACAATGTCTGGCATATATTAAAAAATTACCAGGTATGCAAGTAAG